ATTTGACATTGACTATGTTTGCACGTCTCTCCCGTATGCATTCCATTATTATTCGTACTCATTACGTATTACTGCGATAAAATTTTCATGAGTTGTTATTCCCACACCCTTCAAAGTTTTTGAAGTTAAGTTTTTAGACCCCACTGTTAAACATGAGTCGACTATAAGAAGAGAGTTAAGGCCATACTCCTTTTTAAATTCTAAAATAAATAACATAAAATAGTTGTCATTATTATTCATTCTTGTACTGTATGTCACTTACAAATGAGTGAGTAACAATTTTGAAAAACAAATTTTTGTAAACATTTTGGGACTTTCACGTTTACAAATGCAGAGATAAGTAAATAAGATTTAAAACGACACGGTCCGATAGTTAATGTAACACTACTGTCCATTAACGTTTGCAATTAGTATGACGTACATAATAAACAGTAAATATAATGAATACAATAACTTCATGTTTCTAAAATATATTGCAATTTAATTATCCATAAATTCATTACAATTTGAAATACTGAGAATTGAGAACGCAATATGTTATTATCACTTGAACAGCTTTGCAATATTCTGTTTAAATTATTATGTGTAAATTTACCCGTTATTTAAAACACTGCTTCATTTCATAATGTCGATGAAATTTCAAAGTTCATAAAGAAGCTTTCAACGAAAGAAACATGATCTCATAGTGCTCATTTTGTATTTGACTTAGACCAGTATGATTTTCTATGAATAAATTCACTTTATAATGTCAACGAAATTTCAAATTTCATAAAGATTTCAACGAGCGAAACATTAAGAAAAGAACATTAAGAAAATTGCTTATTTCCTATTTGACTTGGGTTAGTGTGATTTTTTATTTATAAACTCTGTTTAAAGACGACTCGCGTCCAACATTGTGCCTTATTTTGACGCCATTACAGTACATTTCATATTAAGAAATCACTAACATTTTACAGCTACTAAAATAGAATTTCCATTGAATAACCACTCCATTTTGCCAATCTATTGCGTGGCAGTTTACAATATAGACAAATACTAGCCAATAATTACATTATGTATATCTAGAAATATCCATTAATCAGCAGTAAGTAACACAACAACTTCGATAACAAGCTCTTAACATATTTATCAACATGGAATCTTGAATCGGGTCTAGAAAAGTCAGTGGGCGGGCTTAACGAATACCTATTGAAGCAATATCTTGTAATATGCTAAGCAATTGGCTACGATTGCTTGCTGTACGTTTAGATCTAAGCCAAGTTTCCGATAAGGCTCTATATAGAATTGTGATTGATAAAAAAAAATAGCTTTTTTTAGAAGCTAATGTTACTTAAACTCAAACTCGAGTACCCTTTATTTCATAGGCAAACAAATTATACTTCAAATCGTAACATTGATTAATCCGTATTACTCATTCGTAAGGCAGATTGCCCTAATAAGAATGAGTAAGAAACTCGTGGTTAAATAAGCATTTGTATACGTAAATAAAGACAGATAAAGGATAGATTGTTCAACCTTACCTGAATTTGCCTGAAGGTATATTTGTAAAGCATCTGAAGATCTTTAATCGATGTTCTGTATACAAATAATCTAGGTCAATGTCAATCGATTGTTTTTGTTCTTACTCTATAAATATAGTTTGCCAAATTTTACCCACGTTTGAGATCGGGTTGCTGCAAATAGCACCATGTAAAACGATTTTTGTTTTTGGGTTATCAATATTCGTTTTCTAATTGGTTATTTAAAAATGTTTAAAATCTTATTACCCTGCAAAAACTTTTTGCAAGCCATTTTGATGAAAACTTTAAATTTGCATGCCATTAAGGAAATGTTCTAATTTTCGGGTTTCTCTTTACTAAAAAAAAGGGAACCTTATATTTTCAAATCAATAGTATATTTCAACCAAAATTCTATAAATTGATGATAAAGAACTTAGAAATGTGTAGATTTGCGAGATTATGTAAATACCATATGTAAGCCACACAAACAAAGTTTCAGGGGTATAACTACTCTTTTTTACATATTTACTGCTCAATTGAACAGAAACCAATACTGTCAAACCAGAATTTGAAAATTTGTTACATTATGTAATTTACCGAGTCAAGGTGATTACACGCGGCGACTTGTAGCATGCAAAAAGAAGCAAACGTGCGTTCATAAAGCGCCTCAAATCCCAGGTGTAGCGACGCAATCGCGCGTTTGTATCGATGCATTCGCGCGCTAGCGTCGCGTTTGCACGCTGCTTAAAATCGCGCGCGTGTGTAAAGGTAGACGATTAGCGACTGCATCGCGTTTGCATCGTGTTTGCATCGCTGTTAAAAGTCGCCGTATATAACCACTCTAAGGTACGATTCCCTGCCCTTCACATACCCACCGTAAACAATTGACCTCACTTTTCTTCGTATAAAAATATCAATTCAAATTCTGTTTTTAATTGATATTTTTTTAATTGAGGTATTTGCTCAATATTTAAAAAAAATATTATTCAGTCTTTCATGTTCACGTACATAATTAAAGTAATTACATAGTTCCAACTCCACTTTTCTTCCGCAAGGAAATAAGACTAACATTGTAAACGCCCGTTCTTTGTATGCACTACCTAAAAGGTCAAATTAACCTATTACAGTCCATGACAGAATCGGCCAGGAATGTCAATGGGACAACTTTTCATTGTCATTATTGCCATTATTAATGTAAAATACAGGCCTACCAAAATGGTAGATTTATTTTCAGGGCAGTATTCGGGGTGTTTTGAATAGGTAAATTTCAAAAATGTTTTGAGGAAAACAAAGGTTTATCTATCCGTGTACGTAGTTTAATTTTTTAGTAAGACACGATGAGTCATTGAAATTAAAGCCAATCTTAGGGATGTTCCGAGGTAATAAAAGTAGAGTACACTACGGAAGATAAGATACCGTATAATTAAAAGGTATAAGGCATCAACAGTAACTTTCTTATCTACCAGAGACCACCTAACAGGTCACCCTATAACAATTCACCCTGGGGCACTATCTAGAACACCCAGACCAGAAAAATTCTTAAAAGTTCACTTCGAAAATTTATCATACCAGGAATCGGACCTTCGTACCTTCCGTGTTCACAGCCTACAGTATAACCCGTTGAATCACCATGTTAGACATACTTAATTTCCAAATTATTGAAATTGAATAAGCAGCTAAATGTTTCTCATTCTTTGATTACAATAATAAATACGAAACAATGCAATTATAGAATATTTTTATAGGCACTATGCTCCAATACGTTCGTAGCAGAAATGCGAACAAAAATGTTCTCGTTAACGTGAAATATGCAAACATTTATAGCTTTTCACAATCAAACCAAACTTCCGTTCCGAAATCCAGTAGATCAAGACACAAATCTGACATAAGCCATGATTTGTTGCTTGATACCTAACAAAATGTCGTATAAATCGTATGCGACGCCAGATCTTAATCAACGACAATCGTTCATCGTTAGTGAATAGTTATGTTGGTAATAGAATATACTCTAAAGAGCATGTACAAAGACCTTGTAAAGTGTATGCTTCCGAATCCAAAATAAGTAACATTTAAAATGTACATATAACATCGTTAGGTTACGTTTCCAAGCCATTATAATGTCTGTATCTACTAACAAATTATCAATATCAAATTGATATTGATATGAGCCTTTGATACCTTTTACATTAATTGGACAAGAGCACGTTAAACTTAACACTTAAGATTCAATTTCAATTCTTTGCCTCTTACAATAAGAACGGTATAAAAACTCGAATACCTTTTCGAGTGGAGTGTACAGACAATCAATTTTAAGAAAACTTGCGAAATTACAGACTATATAAACGCCGTTTAACTAAATCGGGTACAGCCAGTTTTTTGTTGACTTAAATAAATTAATAAAATTTGTCACAACATTGTCATAAGTAAATAAACAGTTGTCGTGATTCAGATTTTTTAAATGTCATGGAACTTTATCTTGTTTCTCAATTTAATTTTATAATACCAAGTGATACGACGAACAAGTCGTGCGCCTGGTGGTAAGCGACACGCCTATCCGTAACGGTTGCAGTCCCACTCAGAGCTTTAAATCGCAAAGATCTTAGGGGCACTGCCACTGCACCTGTCACCTAGAGATATAAGTTGATAAGTCCCTGTAATTTCATCAGCACCCTTACCCTCCCATATCGGAACACAGTAATGCTCACTTACTGCTTGACGGCACAAAATGGGTAAGGTGGCAGTACTTCCCTAGACGAACTCTTTCACAAGGAGTTCTACTGTTACTAAACTTCTTAATATCGGGGAATAGATCCATAACAATATTTTTTACGTAACTAAACGGTACCTTTACTCTATCTGTGCAGTTTCAATTATTTATTTCCTTAGCCACCAGAGTAATGATACGATATACAACATTGTACGTGTATCTGTTGATAGCTGGTACCTAACCAGTACCTGATCGAATCGAGAACGAACTGTACTACCGCAAATATACAATTATATTCATAAATATTTGTATCGAACGACCAAGATATTTGTAATGAATGGCTGAGAACACTAGCCCGTAATTACAGACCGCGTAACTTGAATATTATCTCCTTAATAAATGATATGCTGGGCTAAATGTTATTGCGAGATCGGGTCGACTACCGAAGGACGATTCTCTCCCTTGTGATTGAAACCTGCTTAGTAACAAAGTATTTAAGTAGCGACAGTGTACGCCTTTATTGACCATTTTACTTATAAATAAGATACACGCTTTAAAACATACTTCATTAATGTATCCAAGTGATGGGCAACAGTCTATGCCTGTATATTAAATTGAGCTATATTTCAATGGTCAATGTAGCTACCAAATTTGGCGATTATTTCAATTTGTAATTTTGCCGATTTGGAAAAATCGTTTCGTCCAAGAGAACATTCTTAAAGAGGAATTGAATTTGGTTGTCTTATAGATGTTGTGATGAATATACCAAAAACATTCACTCTTTTCTTTTCCAGATTGTAGCAGTATGCTTAGCTCTCGCGTGCGGTGCTCACGGCAGCGGTTGGCAAGGTCCTCCTGCCAACATTGCTTTGTCGCAAGACGGCCGCAACATCCTCGACACACCTGAGGTAGCGCAAGCACGTGCTGCCCACCTTTCTGCACTACAGCGGGCCGCTCAGAACAATCCTAATCCCCAAGATGACGGCTCCTACAACCCCGCTTGGGACAACGAGGAGTACTGGCAGCGCGCTGAACAGCAGAACAAGTGGAACGCCCCTGCTCAACAATGGAACGGTGCTCCTGCCCAGCAATGGAACGCTGCCCCTGCTCAGCAATGGAACGCCGCTCCCGCTCAGCAGTGGAACGCTGCTCCCGCATGGAACGCCGCCGGTGCTGCCCCTGCCCCCGTCGCTGAAACACCTGAGGTGGCTCAGGCTCGTGCCGCTCACCTGGCAGCCCTAAGCGCCGCTAAGTCCGCTGCTCCCGCGCAACAGCAATGGAACGCTGCTCCAGCTCACAACCAGTGGAACTCCGCTCCCGCTCAACAGTGGAATGCCGCCCCCGCTCAACAGTGGAACGCTGCCCCCGCTCAGCAATGGCAGGGTGCTCCTTCCTGGCAGGGTAACCCTCAGGTCGCCAACATTCAGCTGGCTCGTGACGGCTCCGGCATCCTGGATACCCCTGAGGTAGCGGCGGCGCGCGCTGCACATTTGGCCGCTCACCAACAAGCCGGTCACGGCGCGGCCCCCGCACACAACCAGCAGCAGTGGTGAACTTCTCCTTTCTTCTTCTCCTCTTCCCCGCTGCTTCGACGTACCACTAGCCCGTGGCATGAGATCTCAGTGATCATTTTCTAGTTTCGCTAGTCGTCGTTCGACGCAGTTTCTACATTTCCTTCGATCTCTTCTTCTTTTAGGAACTATTTTTAAAGTGCAAGTGCGTCAGCCTATTCTATCCCTACGGCTTTTTGTTACTTTTATAAACAAATTTCTATTGAAACGAACTTTTGTACATAATAATTAATATGTATGCGTAATAAACGAATTTATGATACGGAAAATTTATTCAGTTGTTGTAATTGCCCCTTCTCTTTCAGTTTTTAGCGACCGAGGTCAGCGGTTTCAATTTTGAAAAATAAAAATAACATTACAAACAAAACTTCAAATGGGCTATAGAATGTTGTAGATTGTTTGAGAATTGCAACCATAAAGAACATTTCATAATGTCAATTATCAACTTCGAACATGTTCGCATGTCTATCGGTGATAAGAAATTTCAACAGCACTAAAATTAGTGCGAGCATGGAAAGCATGACGTGACACGATGTTATGAAACGAATGAACAGATCTTACACTGATATGAACAAGTGCTCTGTTTGACTACAAACTACATACTAACAGAGTTTATTGTGGCAGAACAAACAGTCAAGTACCAGGCCACAATGCAGGGTATATTTGAATCGCTATGACCGTAAGACCTATTTTATATAAGGCATGATCGAATGGATTAAATTGACAAGGAACAATATCGATTAAATAGAATATTCAAAAGTCAATACTCTGGAGCACATTCTCGATAATCAACATTTGTTCAATATCGGTAAGCATAAATAATACTAAATGCGCAATCTATGCTGGCAAATTTTTGTTTTTGCGTTATTATCTGCAGACAACGGTGGCGCCACTGGTCCCTTTTAGAGTTAAAATGACTTCGTCAGAACACGGTTGTTGAACGGTCTAATTCTTTTATTCGTCAATGTAGAAAAACTAACTTTTCTATATTGTCTCGGGTCTGAGCGTTTGTGGTATCGTCGTTATTTCCGATTTCCATAACACAAGTGCTTTAGTTACTTCGGGATCAGAGCGACGTATATGATGCTATTTAATATAATTAATAAAACTTAGATAAATTTATATAGGTACAACACATTATGTAGAACTTAGGTGAAAATTTGTTCTACTTTTTTGTATTCAACACATGCACAATGAATTAAAATTACGAGTAACTAGTAACTTACGATCCAAAACAGTCATCGCACTTCTTTTGATGTTGAAAGTTTTCTAGGCGCCAATGACCAGTTTTCATCAAGTCAACTTAATTCCCGTTTCAACATTCAACATGAATATATACAATGCAAATGCAATACAATACAATATGTATAATATATACATAGGAGAAGTTTTACACATGAAAGTCATAAAAATAATACGAATACCATGAAACAAAATTATGCATATGTGAAATTTTATTACTCTCCTGTTTAAGCATAAAAAAGTGAATTACCAATTTCTGCCGCCAAGTAGTAATGTGAGCATTACTGTGTTCCGGTTTCGAAGAGTTAGGGTGCTGGTAAAACTACAGGCACATGGGACTTGTAAATTTATATCTCAGGTTGATGGGCGCAATGGCAGTACCTCTAAGATCTTTGCGATTTAAAGCTCTGAGTGACACTACAACTGTTATGGATCGACGCACGGAAGAAAAAAAAAATTGGAATTGCCTTAAGCCTCGATTACTATCAGTGCAGCTAGCACAATAGCACTCTTAACGCAATGCATTAAAAGTGTCTTTTGCATTGCAAGCATTGGTTTAAGACGTATCATACTTAAGTTTAATGCAAGTGGACAAGAGTGACACTGCAACTGTCATAGATAGGCATGTCGCTTACTACCAGGCGCACGACTTGTTCGTCCCGTGTCTCTTGATATCATAAACCAAAAAGTTATCAACTAATTTAGGATCTTTAAGAAAGTTGTTTGCAGACGTGGCCTTATTACACCATATTATTAAATACACAAAGTTTATCATCACATAAAAATCCGACCTTAAAAACCATGCATCCCGTAGTTTGCCGCCCTTAGAGGTGGAATATTTTCTTCAAATTTAAATGGGACCACATCTGAGGTACCCTCTTTCCAACAAAAAAGAATCAATAAAAAAAAATCATCAAAATCGGTTCACAAATGCCGAGTTATCGCATAACATACATACAATAAAAACAGTCGATTTGAGAACCTCCTTCTTTTTTTGAAGTCGGTTAAAAACAAACGAAGTTACAATAAGTATTATTAATAAGCAAAGTTGATTTAATTCCAAACCATTAAATACTGTACTTGGATATGTTACAGTTTCTTTACTATCAATAATTCAATCTAATTTTATCGAATTACACGTGAAAATGAACGGTTTGGTAGATAATTTACGATCAAGCGCGCAGTATAATTAGTATACGTGGCACAGGACTTATTCTACAAATAAATTAAAAACATATACAGGGTCTGTACAAGAACATATTATTTATTGAGATTTTCGTGAAATAACGCCTCTAGTTTTGTTATCATTATGAATATAAAGATCGAACACAAAGAACCGTGACCATGGAACCTGTAAAGGACCCGAAACATTGGTTTGTTTGAAAAAACAAATATACGCGATTTAAATCCGGAAAAATAGTTTCATTTCCTAAACTAACTTAACTTAAAACCTTTAGTGTTCTACTCTTGCTTTTCGCTATCAACACAACGTTGTAAGCTTTTTAACATAAAAGTCTATGCGCTATTTTTTAAGCTTCAAACTAAAAAGCGTTTAAGTAAAAAGCGTCTAAAAAAGCACGCTTTTTTAAAAAGCTACAACGTTTAAACATTTAAAATAATAAGCCTTTTTTCCATCTCTAACTGTCGATGAAAGGGTTATTACGCGAATGAGAAATATCGACAGTTTATTTACATGCGTGTATGGTCCTTCTTATCAACGGAATTGACACATTCGCGCGACCTACGTACCTTGTCGCTTGGTAATATAGAACAACATACTATTACGTCGTTTAATTTCCTTTATTTCATCGAAGAACGTAAGAGAACGATATTTGGCCATACAAAACCTTAATAGTGACGAGCGATGGCTCTACAATACATTAAAATATTGAATCTCTAGCGACACGCAGCATCGAAGTTTCACACAGGATAAGTAAGCACTGAATTATCGCTGGATGACGACGAGGTTTATTGACATCAGTGTTACATTCATTTATTAGCCTATAGAAGAAATGTTTATAAACGTTTGCATTTATTTATAAGATAATATCTGCTACAGCGCATTAATCGGCAAAAGCTCGATCCTTTCACGAAAGTGTTCATTGTTCCCTTTTGCGTAATGAATTACGCAAAAGGGAACAATTAACACTTTCGTGGAAAATATGCTTATTTTTATATAATAATTTTTATATAATAATATATTATTTCGAAAATATTTTTTGTGATGGAATCACAAAAACATATTTTCGGCGATAGTGCAATTACGCGTAACTAGCATTTGATTATGATTCTCCATTTCGGTAAGGTTTAGTCGCCAAATCAACTCCGCATAAATGTTGTGGCAACCAAATTAACGTGATTTATGGGAATCTATTGTTGTCAGTCCTAGACAACATAAATTAATGCTTACTGTGTAAAAATGAAAGTCGTAGCCGGTAATAACGTTAAATCCCTCTCCTATGAAATTTAGTTTGGTTACGCGCTTTTTACCTATACTATAAACGCGGATTTGCACTATCCCCGACGATTTATTACATTTATTTAATAGCCTATAGAAGAAATGAAATATCTTCCACAGCGCCTCATTCGACAAAAGCTCGATGGTCGCACGAATGTGTTAATAGAGTTCCCTTGCATATACACCTTTTGTAAAGTTTCGGTAGGACCCTATGTTACAATTAGCAGCTTGGAGGGGGTACAAGGTCGATCAATCATTCGATAGTAATCGTACTGTTACCGCAAACACTTCGTATCGAATTAACAAATACAGGCTGTTTATGGATAATCGACAGTTTTTATAGCCCCTTTGTAGTTATAAAGTTACTGAGTGTACTTACGGACAATATAAAATACTATAAAAAAGTTTGACTATGTTATACCGTGGTATAGTTGAAATTATTTTTAAAATACTACACAATATCTTTGTAACGACATTCTCTTTTACAAACCTTCTTTAGCAACTGCGAAAGAAATGTGAAAAACAACTACCATAACAATAACAATTGTTATGTCCGTAAACGGGTTAATTCCATTCAGCCTCGCTAGCAGCTTGAGGCGGTTGGATTTCTGTGGCGTGTCGCTTCCAGCACAAATGCAGAAGGTGATCTTGCTTGACATGAGTCCCTGACCCCGGCCGATTGTGCCATTGTTGGGGAACACCGCCACCCCCTCCAATTTTTAAATAAAATTCGAAATTAATCTTTTAAGTCATGGGAGAGGTGAGTTTATAAAATAATTAGAGAGATAATAATAATAATAATAAGACGGCATCAATCGCATGCCTTCACCTTAGTATGCAAAAGTTAGGTTGTGTGTTGCAAGTTCAGCCCACACTACCCCTATCATCACTGATTAAGGTGTATTGCGGAATTCCCCATATACGTTTTATAATAAACTCGAATTCGGTGGTAATTAGCAAGACGAAACGGTTAAATGATCAACGGTCGCGGTGAACCCACGGCCTCTGTTATTGTGCCATGCGAATAATAATAATGTTTCAAAATAAAGAATTCTCTCTACTATAAGTACCAGACCAACGGAATTCACTTCGGGGCACCCAGAACACCAAAAAAAAATCCCGAATTGGTCCTACTGGGAATCGAACCCGAGACTTCCTTTTTCAACGCCCATCGGGCATAAAGATTGGCCGACGACGTCGTGAAATATAATCTCCGGTCTGTACTCTGTAGTACTAAAAAAACCTCAAAAGTTCGTGGAATTACATCTGTTTGCCAAAGTTTATCGAAATCGGTTACTGGAAAGTGCGCGAAACCGGATTCATCCCCTAATTTGCCAAAATTTAAGTCGGACCGCTACTGAGGCACCATCTTTTCAACAAAAAAAAAACAACAAAATCGGGTCACAAAGTTAATCTCGTAACATACTTACAAAAACAAAACATACAGTCAAATTAAGAAGTTTTTAACCGACTCCTTTTCATGGAGTCGGTTAAAAACGTGAGATACATGTTTTCTGGCTTATGACTAGTTATGACTTAGCAAACCAAAACAATATAATTCTTACTTAGAAGACCTCTCGACAATTGATTGCTTGTGGGTCTTTAGCGAATTCCCCAGGTACTTCTATTCTCCTATTCTTTCGAAACGCGCCTTCATAATCATGAATAGAGATTACTAAATACTGCTTATAAATTTTACTTTACTTACTTACCGTTTTACGTAAGCGTGCTCATAAAAGCACTGTTCACATAGACACGTTTTAGTTTAAAGCTTACAAAATACTTTACAAACCGTTTAAGCTCATAGACTTTTTGTTAAAAAAAGCTTGCAACATTTTGTTGACAGCGAAAAGCGAGAGTGGGCCACTAAGGCTCAACTCACACTGGCGCAGAGTCGAAGCATCGCGTCGCGTCCTGTTTTTCAACTACAACGCCTGGCGACGCGCGTCGACGCGCGACGACCCTCGCATTAGTGCGCCGGGATCACAGTGTGGTCGGCGTCTGAAGCGTCACTGCGCTCAAGTAACGTCGTTCCTCTTTCCAAGAAAACGAGAATCATCAAAATGGATTCACAATCGCCCTAAGTATAGGGTAACAGACCTCCTCCTTTTTTGAAGTCGGTTAAAAATGAAATTATTGCGTATTGTACTGAGCAACGCTTAGAACTCAAAACCGACCTCAAAAGTCTTCATCCCCTAGTTTGCCGCCCTTAAAGGTGGAAAATATTTTTTTCAAATTTAAATGGGACTACTACTGAGGTACCCTCTTTCCAACAAAAAAGAATCTTCAAAATCGGTTTACAAACGCCGTATGAGTTATCGCGTAACATACATACAAAAAATACAGTCAAATTAACCACCTTCTCCTTTTTTTGAAGTCGGTTAAAAATTATAAACATGCTTGTGTGCTTATATTCAAAAGTAAACTTTTCAAAGTGCTTTTCGTTTAAACGCCCCTCTAGTCACGAATAATCCTTTTCCGCACATTACTTCTACCTACACCACCTCGTGAAGCTACTCTTGCCTTTGATCATTAGTTGCCAAAGTGCTAACACGCTGTATCTAACTGAATGATTGTTTCTAGTCTTTGCTCCCCAATGTCCCCACTCGCATTGATGACCGCTGAAGAAGAAAGTCTACTAACAAAATTATAATGGTCATACCCAATAAGGAAATCAGGATACTCCCTAGAAAATCCCTTGACAACTTTAGAAAGGTAAGTAGGCTTATTATACTAAACACAAACTAGGATGATCCCTGAGACGTTTCATTTGATGTTTGTCATATGGATGAGGTACACTCGATAGATTTTTAGTGTATATGATTTTTTAAGCAATATTATTGAAGGCATAAAACACACAACTGTTATTTAAAATGAAATTTCAATCGATATTTTAGTCAATTTATAAAAACATTTACCATATTATTAATTTATAATCTATAGGTCTCAAAAAAGTAATAACACTAGCCTATCAATTCATTGCCATTGATTAAATTCATACTTTAAGAATGAATACACGCACTGTACATTTTTTCATAAAACTATCGAAAACTTTTTATCCATCTTCAACCATCTCTAGCAAATGCAGTGTAATTGAATGAAGTACCCTTTATTTATTTATTAAACTTTATTGACCACAACACAGAATGATACAAAAGGCGGACTTAATGCTAAAAGCATTCTGTACCAATCAACCTTTGAGGAAAACGAAATTCACGAATGCGGCAAATTAAACAAAATATTAAATATATAAAAATAATTTAATAATAACACAAATGTAATAGTATATAATCAAATATATAACGAACAAACCTAACATATACATATTATCTGTATACATAATACATATATTTATATATGATACATACAATAACAGAAGAAAATAATGATGATTATCGCTGTGACGAGATCTTCTAATGGAGTCTGGGAAAGCATTCCAGAGACGTGTTGAATGGAGAGTGAAGGACTCAGACATGAAGCCAGAATGAAAGAAAGTTATAAAGAGTACAAGAGAGTTAATGGATCGAAGGGGGCGGTCATGAGAGTCGCACAGATACTGAAATTTACATTTCCAGTATTCTGGATAGTGAGGATTGAAAAGAATGGAGTGCAACGTGCAGAGTAGTCAGTCTCTTTTGCCTGAGTAGTAGGATAGGAAGCTATTTAAGTTGAGCTGTGAAAATCGCAAATGTCACCTTCTGAATTCGCAAATTTGCGAATTCAGAAGATGAAACGAATAGCAGAAGGCGGTCAAGCTTATATATTAGATCTTTATTAAGATCAGGTAACAGACATAATACACGTTGCCGTAAAATTAATTTGTGTTTTTCCGCTCATTTCTCACAAATAAACATTGATTTGGTGTTATTTCTACTTTAATTTAATGTATTACTTAAACAAAAGCTCATTTAAAAGCGAGGCTTATAAAAATAATTTATGAAATACGTAAATTAGTACAAATTGGTACAAGGTTATATTTTGTAGATTTTTATTAACTGTCACAGGGGACATTATTTTTAGCATAGGTTACTTTAGTTTCTTTTTTTTTCAATCCGGACACGGGCAGAATTGTCCTCAGCGGGACAGAAGCCAAAACACGAAAAAGAAATTTGTTTCTTTTTTTTGTACGATTACGTATTCAAACTCATCTTAGATCAGGTACTTATCTTAGAGGATGGAAAAATACTCTAACGTGCTAATAGACTCCCAAGCACATAATTCGAGCCACCTTATATTTTTAGTCTAAAAGAGCTAAAGAATACAAAAAACCTGATAACATCGAAGAAAAAGTTTTCCCCGGTTCGTACAAATTGAAATTTTCTACAAGGACTTATGGAAATTACGTTCCAAATAAATCCAAAATGTACAATAATACAGTACCAGTAGAGCTCCTGTGAGAGAGGAAAGGTACAACCAAAATCATTTTGAATATTTTGACGATTAATGTCAAAATTTAATATTTTTAACAAAACCACATGTAGCTTGTTGTCGTAAAGAAGAGGCTGAGACTGTCTCACAATGTTGCCATGATAAAAATTATTTATTTTAATGTTGCTGCTGCCAACAGTTAAAATTATTTATAAATCATGTGACGGCTACGAAAGCCTATCAAGGGCATGGCCTGCGTGCTCTTCTCATGATTAGTTTTTGTTTGCCTAGTCTATCCCTTGTCTAATATTGAATTTGTAATAGATACTTGAAAACTGAGGATACTTACATTTAGACTAAGGTTTATAATCGTAGCAGACTACTATTGCATTCTTTTTACGATACTAAGTGACGGAACGAACAAATTTGTGCGCCCGGTAGTAAGCGACACGCCTGTCATTTGGCATTTGCAAGTTGATCTGTCCCATGTGCCTATAATTTCACCAGCACCCTTGCCCTTCAATACCGAAACGCAGTAGTACTCACATTAATTGTTTGGCTGTAGACATAGGTACGGTGGCAGTACTTCCCTCGATGAACTCTTTCACAAGGAGCTCTACTGCTACTAATCAGCTTTCCGTTTTATCAATTTACAGCAAAACTATTGGACAACACAAATCAACCCAGATACGCCACCATGGTATGTTTGGGAAAACAATGTGACAATAGGCCGAAGTCGTGTAAGTAAATAATTTGGGAAAGCTAGGAGTAATTTCAGCAAAATATGACGTAATGTATTATTAAGAGTGTAATTTTTAATGACATTAAAAATTTGTCAAAATAATTATAACTTTTTTATAAAATAAAAACCTCAAAAGTTCGTGGAATCACATCTATTATTTTGCCAAGTTTTATTGAAATCGGTTACCGGAAAGTGCGCGAATCCGAATTCATCTCTAGTTTGCCACCTTTAGAGGTGGAATATTTTCTTCAAATTGAAATGGGTTCACAAAAATGAAAATCGCTTCACAATTGCAAATAAAATTAAGTCAAATCGAGAACCTCCTCTTTTTTTGAAGTCGACAACCACACCAATTACGTGGTCTAAATCTAGAAAATTCACCGCACTCTGAGTGCTAGAGCAACAAAATTTACTCCGGGCACTACCCACGATACTCAAACCAGGACCAATTTAGTACCAAACTTCGTTTCCCAAATTGGCCCTGCCGGGAAACAAGCCCGGGACATCTTCATCTACACCCTCAGTGCTAACCGCTGGACCAGCGAGATCGTCAAAATTGTATTGCCATATAGTAAATTGTAATTTTTCTTTTTTGAATTTTTTCCGTAATTTTACCTCAATAGCTTAATTTGCTGACATTTTTTCGAAACAAATCGTTATACTCATTGACCTACCAATCCAGTTTTACGATGGCCATTTTGAAACACCATTTTTGGCCGTAATGATTAAGGTATTTTTTTTTAATTTCTATATATTTTTTTCAATGGCGGATGAAAATACAGAAACACTTTAGATTCACCGTGTGGTTCTAGGATACTACAGTTCTAAAATACGGGTTACTGAATGTCTTTAGAAAGTCTTCATGTGCATTATATAAAAGTGTATATCAGTTTCTTCACTGCTTTCATTCAGTAAAATTCACTTACATTCTTAAAATTCAGGCGAACCTTAATCAAAAGAAGCAACTCGTCGCCGCTCCACTATGTGAAAACGAAGACTTCAAAAAGAATTTCAGAGAATATCTGCTGACTTCTACCTTACACGGACTGCGGTATATGGGGGAAAAGAAGTTAACTTGGTTTGAAAGGTGCGTCAATTTAAACAATTTCAGTAAGCCTTTAATTTGTTCGTAATCATCTATATAATACCTAGATAAGTAGTAAGTACTGTACAAAGCACTGTATAACCGATTTGCATCACAATAATATACTATAATTTCATACAGGCAGCTTCCAATAACTTTGATGGTGTAGTAACATTATACTGTGGTTGGCGTCATTCAAGTTGGATAAAATTCGAATACTATTTTTAGATAGAAGAGTAGAAGTCTGTATAATATACTATATAATAAGCACAATCACGTCTGCGATACATTTTGGCAGTCGCTGCACAAATTTCGTATTAGTATTATATTAAACTTTCATTCATTATTTTTCCACCATCTAGTTTGATGCTGTCCGAGACCCTTCTTCACTTGTATTTATTGTTTTTGTTTGTATTACTTTGGGTCGTATTCTAGAACTCTACTCAATGCTCAAGTCAGGATTTGAGTATGGTTTAAAGCACTCGATATCATACACAAGTCCCTTCCATTAGGGTCGTATTTCCAGTGCTTGAAATCATACTCAGACTTGACTTGAGCATTGAGTAGAGTTCTGGAATACGACGACACTTTTTCTTTTTTTTAAATTTAAGTTGCTTTTTTAAAATTCTGTATAATTTACATTTTACGTTGTTTTTGCAAGCTGTGTTCACTCATGAGTAGTTGTGCAATTTAGATAACATCTTCACCAAATTGAATTTATAGTATGTTACATTGTAATAACTGTAAATGAACCAAAAGTCGGAGTTACGTAGATCATAAGTGACACCACTCTGTAGCTCATCATAAGTGGTATCAATTATGACCTATGTACATAAGCTCCGACTTCTTTGCTAGTGTAAATAATGCTAATCATAAAATTTTTCAGGTCGTTATTATTGATAACGACAAAATACACAACACAAAGATATATTCATTTTTTATTAAGATACTCCACTCTAGTTTGTTATAATCTTTGTGATTATTGACACAAAGATACATTTCTAAAATCAGACTGGACGCGATCGTGACTACCTAACTACGTCGTGACTATACTAACTGACCTACAGAGCGAGTCAGCAGATCTTAGGGATTTCTCAGTCTTTTTTTAATATTTAACAACATCACATACGTTGCTCTGATCCCAAAGTAAGTAACTAACGCACTTGTTTATGGAAATCGGAAACAACGACGGTACCACAAACACCCAGACCCGAGACAATATAGAAAAATTAGTTTTCTGCATTGTCCCAGCCGGGGATCGAACCCGGGACCTCAGAGATGGCGACACCATGAAAACCGGTGTGCAAACCACTCGACCACGGAGGTCGTCTATGTGTAATAACAAAACTAGTAGTAGGCACAAATAACAAACTAGTGGACTATTATCACAAAAGAATATATGAATAACAATAATACAAATAATCTTCAGGTTTTTTTGGCTAGCTGCATTCGGCAGTTCCTTAATCTGCGCAACATTTTTCATCTTCAACGTCTACACCAAATGGCGGTCGTCGCCGATGATCGTCACCGTCAACCCTGAAAACATGGCGTTATCTAACTTGCCGTTCCCCGCTCTCACCATTTGTAACGTCAATCAGGCGAAAAAATCGGTTGCGGAACGATATTGGACATCCGGGTACGTTTTTTTTTTTTTGGTATATATCTATCGAGTTCCCAAATTGTCGTGATTGCGACACTTTGAAAATCCTAAAACCTAAAATCGCATGTTATTTTTTCAAACAAACCCAGATTGTTGATAGAACAACTGGAACTTGTAAAAGCCCGAAACACAAACACACGCGAATTGAGACTTGAAAATCATTGACTTACAAATAAATGGACGACGGGTCTAATACAAAAACCACGAAAAAAATGTACCAAGTCAACCTATTTAAATGTAGTGACATATAAAGGAATATGAAAAAGCTAAAACGTTGAATTTAAATTGTAATGTCATCGCAGTACTGTATAATTTTGCTTGCTTCGCTGTCAGTCGAACAAACGAAGACTAAAGCGTGAATGACGCTCTGTATAAGATTTTAACGCCCTATAAGTTCGGATACTTTTTAGCGCGGTCCCGACGTCCATATAATTGTAAGTCAATGTTGAAAATAGTCATTTTTGAGACAAGTGCGGAAAGCTAGTCATTATTCACGAGACTCGGGCTTCCTGGCCCGAGCCAGAGGCGAGGGTCAAGACTCGAGACAAGTGAAATTGACAAATTCACTTGTCTCGAATTGACATATCAAACGACATTTTTTAATACTACATTGAAAGTAAAATAAAACACTATTTTAAAAAAAACTCATTTTATTTCTTTGTCTGATAAAAATTCAGTGTACAGTGGCGCGGCGCGCAGCGGTCTCGCGTAATGCTCACCTCTGGTCATTGTTAATACTCAATCAGCCATCTTTATGGAAAATATTTTGGTATTTTTAAATGTAACCCCCTGTTTTATAAAACACCTATGCAATTTAAACAAATAAGATGTTTGTAAGTAAGTATAAGTTTCAATGACGAATGACTTACATTAAACTTAAATAAATACACAACCTCTAGTTGCTATGTTTAAGAATTGAAACAACGTCAAATAAAAAAAATGGAAATGTAAAAAGCACTAGTGCGAAAAATCCAACTTTCAGCACGATATATACTACGTAAAATACCACGTTTTGAGCAACTGTATTAAAAAAATAGTTTCATTTCCAATAAATATCTACATACAGATTTTTATTTTAAAACACCAAATCTTTGATTCCCTTAACAATACGAGTATATGTGTGGGTAATACAATAATAGTTGCATATGAGTTTTACTATTTATACCCAATTTAACTTTGAAACAAAAACTGAATGGTTTTTAATTTGTGAAAATAAGGCATTTTACAGGAATATTATATATAAAATATATTTATAAAATAACATGAGTAGTAACTCAGATAGCGAGATCGGATGAGACAAAAATAAACATTAAATAGTATGTAGATCACAGTTTCCGTTTCAGTCCCTACCGCTTCCCAGTGGACGTTGAATAGTTTTAGGGGGCTGCGGCTGGTGAGGGCCTCGGAAGCAATTGGGGACGTTGATGCTGTCCAGGAGGTGCTACAGCATTTGTAAAAAAAAACCTGAATTATCTATATAAACTACATACATACATATATTGTTCTTTCGTTGTGATTTTTTTCTGTTAGATTAATATAAAAAATAACAAGTTTTCAGTTATTTTTTGAGGTGGTGGTGAGTTGAAATTATTTTATCTTGCCTAAGTGGGAGGTGAGCCAAAAAGTTTGGGAACCTATGACATAGATGAAACTGATATCGCGATCGTAGCATACACATTGAAGGTTACCAGTAACCCTTACCAAGAGATCGCGCGATCACAGTATACTTACCACTATTTCCTACGATACAGCATCAGAAGCCTAGCACATAATTACCACACAAGTCATAGCAGTAGTATCCTTAAAATGGCTGCTAGTAAACTATACGTAAGATTACGCAAACAATGTTTCGCACACAACATCCAATTTATTAAATTGTAGGAATTCAATAGACAAGAAGCTGCTGCTTAGTCTCTGCTCAACGGAGGACGAAGGCGAGATATTTGAAAACAATGTCACCGCTGAAGCTGCTGACTGGGATTATACTCGCTCTTTCCTTATAAATGTAAGTATCTTACATTAGTAGCAGTTCCAAGGAGGTGCTGTCACCTCGTTTATTTCTGCCGCCAAGCAGTAATGTCAGCATTACTGTGTTTCGGTCTTGAAGGGTAAGAGTGCTGGTAAAATTACAGGCACATGAGACTTGTCAGGGTAACGGGCGCAGTGACTGTGCCCCTCAGATCTTGGCGATTTAAAGCTCTGAGTGGCACTGCAAATGTTATGGACAGGCGTGTAGCTTACCATCGCGTACCACTTGTTCGTCCCGTCATGCGTCTTCAGTCTATTAGAAAAATATATTAGAAGTCTACAAGAATCATTCCCTGGAAACTCCAGTAAATTAGGAATGCACATTACGGTTCGATTTTTATGAAAATCAATTCAAGTATATACGATCTAGCTATTTCTTGTATCGATTCATTTCAATGCGATTTGTAAGTATAAATCTATTGAACATTAAGGTGAATTGTATCGTTTGTATCGTATTTATATTTCAAACAAGACATAGTCTCTTTCTGAATCCCTATTTTATATTGGCGTGCAAGAAAAGCAGTTTGTTAACATCTAAGTACAGTAAGCATTGGTTCACACGGCACTGTCCTGCGCGTTTTTTAACGTATTCAATTATAAACGAATGGACAGCGGAGGTTGACATGATATATTTTCATGCGTTTAATAGACGGATAGCCGCAGTATTCATACAACAATCGCCTTGAGAACACGTCTGTGATGGATCCACACTTTGTTGCTCATTTATATTGGCAAAGAAGACACGAACGGCTTTGCTGCCGGAAGAACACAAGGTATTGGGTACAAACACATTTGAAAAATTCTACGAAAATCTGAGAAAAAAAACGGGCTTTTGTTCCACTAAAGATATAAACAAATCACTGTCCACAGAAGATTCGCCGGGCATTTTGTATTAATAAAAGTATTCGTGCCCTCCGTTCAAAAGATACTTCAATACTAGACGCCGCTTGTTCGGTGACTATTCGATAAAAAACTGATGACGCATTAATACTATGCGCCACTGCACACCGAATATGTTAAAGTTCATTCGATTTGTTTGACAAGTCCGTTGCGTATTCGATAAACGTATAGAGCTGTGTGCCTTATTTTTGCAGGACAAACAATGTGTGAACGGTTCTATTCGATCGATTCAAAGCAAAAAATCGTGCATCCCTACTATGAATATGGAAAATTTCACCTAGATGAAAAAAATCGTGAACTTTAGTATCTAATTTTTCTTTTTTTATAAAAAAAAGTGCGCATTTGCCACCTCCATCTCACCTAATGGAAAATGACAATGGAGCATACACACCTAAATAATGCCTTATTTACTTACGCATTGAAAATTGCCAGAGATATAGCGGTCAGGGAATAAGTCCGCAGGCAGGAAAATCCACTCCATAGCCGTTCGTCGTATAAATGTAGAAGCGTAACGCTTCGTGGAATATCCACAACTTATAGAAGTAGAATCTCGGTCTACGTGAAAACAAACGCAAATAATAAAGTATTCTGGTATCGACCCATCAACAGGACGTTTTCTTTTACTTCAAGGTAACGCAACCGTGTGCTGAGATGCTGGTTCTATGCTCATGGAATTCTAGGGAGGAGAAATGCCTGGATCTATTCAACGCACAATTAACAGACGAAGGACTTTGCTGTACCTTCAACACTGTACATCGGAACATGATGTTCTGGGACCCGTAATCATGGTTTTTTTATTACCTATACACAATATTAAAAATAATGTTCTTTTTAACAACTCAATTAATTTAAAATGCTGGAAGGCAAAGTGGTATCATGGTTGCATAGGCTTTGAAGGTAATCGCGGAGAAATTCATTGCACGATATTTAAGTATTTGCCTTTTTATTATTATTATTTATTAAATAGACGTACAAAAACAGTAAATAAATAATAACGCACACACTCAACATAGCCCCGCACTAGGGAAACCCTGTGTCGCGGGTGCCATGGACACACACTTAGACAACCACAAATTACACCCAAACTCACGAGAGAAACAATTGTAGGCCATACAAATATTTCTCCCGGCCCGGGAATCGAACCTGGGACCTCTTCGTGGCAGTCCGGTATGGTAACCGTTCGGCCACGGAGGCAGTTTAATTTACAGTTCATATTCATTCCTTAACAAAAGCTTATAAACATTATTGCTAGTTCTAGTCTACAATGTAAACCTAAGCATATGCATACAGCATGACCAATCATGAGTACTCACTGAGTATTTAGGTATAATAAAAGTGTAGTAACCTTAAATAAAATTACTATGATTATAACTATGAAAGAAAGTAACTGTAAAAACACCTAAAATTATAATCAAATATATCCATGTCTAAATCATCACCAGGATCAGCCATAAGGCCATTGTAGCCCCGACACATTTTTCACAAACTTTTTTTTATCGAAAGAAGCTTAGTTAATCATATTTCGGATCCCATATGTCACAACTGCTTTCTTCTGTTTTATTATCAACTAAAAAACAAGTTAAATTCGTATTTTTGAATGTCGAAAAACCAATTTACCATGTGTTCGAAATACGGCAAAACATCTATCTTGGGTCTTACTCCAACTTATAATTGAGCCTACTAAATTACATTAAGTATTACGTACAATAGAATCTGTAGCCTCTCACCATCTCGATACCTCCAATAACATTACGGCAAATTAATTTTTGGACCTGTTCTGTTTTTTGTTTCTTTTTTTACAAAATTCGTTTTTTGTGTTCTTTTTCGAATTCAGTTTTTTTTTTTCACAAAATTCGGGGAGCATAATATTAGTAAATAAATAAGGCTATTTACAAAATAACAGAAAATGACCAAAGAATAAAGTTGGCGAATTGTTCATTGGAGGAATCGATCTATTGATTCAACATCTATTTATTACGAGTTCCTTTCAGTAACAACGTAAACGACATGAATTTAACATTTCCACTTCCTGCCGTGGATTGGACTCCGGAAACGGGGTACCCAGCTGACTCGCCACCTAACGGCTTTCCGTGGAAACCAAAAGGCGTCGGTGTAAACCACGGCCTAACGCTAATCCTGGATGCTAATATAGCTGAATATTATTGCGCTTCAACGTATAGTACTGGGTTCAAGGTAAGAAATTGTATAAATACATATTTACGCCCAGATTGAAGTATATACACATTGCAAGATCATTATATTGTTTGGCTATGATCGAAGTAGGTACTATAGCGGTTTTCGAGTTTGCCGGAATCAGATCGATTCGTCTGTTTACTAACAAATAACGCAGATAATGACCTGACTGCCACGTTCGTTGTAACATAATAAACATGGCGAGTAAAAATTCGACTTAAAGGCCTGGTTGATAAATGGCCAATTAGCAAAATGGCTAATAGCTAAAATGAAGGTTTTCGCCGACTGACTAGTTCTAAAAATGTCTAACGCTACGTGATATTTTTGTTAGTTTAGTCAGTATATGTGATAATAATCTCATGACTATCGGAAGTGAAAATATTATACAATTGCTTTTGATTCTGCAAACACCAACGCACCAGGTTGAGTAAAGAAAATCTTTCATAGATTTCTCACAGGTGACGCTAAGGTAAAAGCTATTGAAACTAAAAACAAATCTGTAACGCATAGAGAAATTCATAAGGTCTGGTGACTCGACCGATTGGCATACAGACGCGGGTTTTAAGTCTCCTGTCAGATCGAAGAAATTTTTCTTTGTGTTCGATTTTTCAGCTAAACTTTACGATATTTACAAGAGCGCAAAATCAACCTCGAACCACTCGACAAACCAGTATTACTAGGAATTTAAAACAAATGAATAATTTATTTTTTTTTTTTTTTTATTTATTTATTTATATCAGGTAACAAAGACCCATGTATACATACCTTGTAGACTAACATACATAACAATATAAAAACAAAATACCCCTATTATATATACCTTAAAACAAACATACATACAATATAATAATAAAAACTAATCTACACGATTTCTCTTATCGGCGACGTGTGGCGCAATCTGGTGTCAGGTAACCGGCCGCGGAATCGCCGATATATGACACCCTTCGGCCAAAATTCCTCTTTCATGAAGGTCGAAAGATGTTCGGTCGGTATTCTCACCACAAAGGAATTGAAGTTCACGTTGCGGCGAGACTCCAACCGCTCGACCCTCAGGGTGTATTTGGTTTTATGCCTGATATACTCCACTATCTCCTCAGACTTCGTGGAGTAATGCAGCCGCGACAGGTACATCAACGTCGTCGGTACGGCCGGACGCAGCAGGAAGTTCGGTCCTGTCGGAGCTGTGCCACACTGGTTACGGCTGGTGGGCTTCCTCTTCACCACCTTTGTGATGAATAATTTTTTTTTATTTTTATTATGCATTAAATTTCAGGTAATAATAATGTAATATGTAGTGAATGTATTGTCTATAATATGGGTTTTTGCTGCCCGAAATAAATGAATTTTATTTTTATTTTATTTTATTTTTTATTATTTATTTATAATAAAAATTATTTTCGACCATTTTTTACAGTCTTCAAATAAGATCTAAAATAAAAAAGTCAAATAATCGACCAGTATTTTGAAAAACACTGCATTACTTTTGGAGTGGGTATGTGTTCTCTCGCACAAAAACTTTTCATAAATTAAAAAGTTGTTAATTGTGCATTCCTCGCCTTGTCCGGGTATGGTGAGAGAGCTATTGCTAAATTTTTGGTACAAAACACGATTTGACAACTGGCAACACTGAATTTCTCCTTCTTCTGCCCTCCGATTGGTCGTTGGATCCTTACCACCACGCTGCTCACCCCTCCACCAGTGTGGGGGTGCGGTGGCCGTTGTTCAAACTCGACACGCGGTTTCCCTCATTGCGTTGTTGAATTTCGTTGCGAATACACAATTAAGGGGAAATCCTGTCGGATTGCGTACCGATATGGATTCCGATACAACTGGCGGCACTGGCGAGTGCCGACGACGACGACGAGGCAGAGACCGACAAAGACGAAGGCGCAAATCTCGATCTCCCTCGTACTCCAGATCGAGATCTCCAAGTTACGACAGCTCTTTAGATCGCGCTAACTGGCGCCACAGTGAGTACTACAATTCGGATATTTCGGTTTTTGGTCAGTTATGCAAACAGGTTAGTGACCTAACGGTTTTTATGAATAATTTTATGCAACAAAATGTGCAAAATGTGGGGGTGTCGGAACAACAGACACGTGTGGTATCCGAGCCCAGTACCTCGCAAGTACCCGACACTGCACCTCAATTAGCCAGTGTGCCACAATCTTGTACACCAGTTGAGGGAAATGATGACGATTTTTCCTTCCAATCTCTACAAACTACACTGAAGGACACTGGTATAGGCAAAACTGACCATGAACGATTTGAGTTAATTAATTCTTTACAGCTTTTTGGGTCCCCTGATTGGCTCAACATAAATTTCATTGAAACTCAAAAGACTTATTTATCTAAACCTGGTTTTGTAGAATTGGAATCCAATGATGATCTGAAACCTTTCGATAAAAACAAATTTCTACCCTCTTGTGAACGTACTTTATCTGCATTGTCTAACGCTGTATTATTACAAAGAAATATTTTACAACAGAATGTTACTTCCTTACTTTCATGGGTACGAGAACTTCAGGTAATTAATTACGATGAATTTTCTAGCAAAGTTAAGGAATTATTTAACGAAAACATACAATAAAATTTCCAACGACATCATGCAGATTATTTGTGGGAAAAGGGCGTCAATAATAAATAATCGAAGAAATGAATTATTGAAGTCCGTTCAAAATAATTATACAGTAGAAAAATTCAAAAAGATACCCCCATCTTCTGAATTTTTATTTGAACCAGAACAATTTTCTAAATTGCTTGACAGAGAAGGTGGTCCATCGAAAGTGCTTGCTAAACCACAACCGGCAAAACGAAATTTGTCTTTTTCGTCTACATCTAAAGGTCAGATCAAATTCCCTTTGAAAAACCAATTCATACAACGCTTTCGTACACCCAACACAGAGCCTTCAGGGAGTTCAAAACCTAGGGGGTTGGCGGCGTCTCGTGGAAAACGAAAGCACGAGCCTAGAAGGTCTCGCGAGGGTCGTCACATCGATTCCAAGAGACGCCGCTATGATTGACTCACATCGCTTCGAAGCGGGTCGCCTACAACACTTTTATCACAGGTGGGTGGCTCTAAGAGCTCCACCAGTTATATTGAAAATGATTTCCAATCTTCGAATACCATTTATAAGAAAGCCCCCTCTATTGATACCAGATTTGGATACTTACCAAACACCAGACTCTCCCCAAATGGCTGCAGAAATTCGGGCAATGTTAGATTTAAAGGTCTTAGAACTAGCGGAAGTAAGTCCCAGTTTTGTGTCACCGATGTTTTTAATTCAAAAAGCAGACCTTTCCTTCCGACCGATTTTCAATTTGAAATATCTAAACAATTATATAACAATAAAGAAATTTTACCTTATATCTCATTTCGAGATTCCAAATTTTCTGCAACCGGGAGACTGGATGACGAAAGTCGATATGTCACAAGCGTATTTTCACGTAAACGTCACGCCACCTCACCGACGTTTTCTAAGATTAATATTCAGACATGTACTTTACCAAATGACCTGCCTTCCGTTCGGTATAGCATGTGCCCCGAGGTGTTTTGCAATGTTAACAAACTTTGTGGCGCAGAGACTGCGAGAGGCGGGTGTCCGTATTGTAGTTTATCTCGACGATTTTCTAATCGTCAATCAAGATCGATGTTTGCTTCAGCGGCAAACTTCTTTAATCATAGAATTTCTTCAGGCTCTAGGATGGATTCTCAATTTCAAAAAATCTATTACGAATCCCACACAAAACATCGAATTCTTAGGAATTCAATGGAATACCCTACAGAACGAAAAATATCTTCCTCCCAAGAAGATAGTAAAACTACAAAAGGAGTTTCAGCGACTTCTTTTGAAGAAGACCTGCTCTCTCAGCGAAGCGAGGTCCGTTCTGGGGCGATTAAATTTTGCCAATTACGTAGTGCCACAGGGTCGATTACATTGCCGCCACTTTCAACGTCACCTTCGCACGCTACGCAAGGGAAAGCATCCAAGGCAGCAATACATGTTGCCGAAGGACGTCCTGTTGGATCTACAGTGGTGGCGGCGTGCGGTAAGCGATTTTTCTATGATTCATTTACCACAGATTACTCACTACCTAGTAACCGATGCTTCCAATTACGGTTGGGGAGCCCTACTAAACGACACGTGCCTTGCCGGGACGTGGGAACCTTACCAACAAACTTGGCACAGCAACCTCAAGGAGCTAGTAGCGATCCAGAGAGCGATAGAATCAAATACAGAGGGCTTACGCGGGGCCAGTTTGCTGATTCAGTCAGACAATGTAACGGCTCTCGCGTACTTAAGGAACGAAGGGGGCACGAAGTCATCAAAATTAATGAGTCAAACCCGCCAGGTATGTCAACTAATTCAAGACTTACAGATTGTAGTTACTTATCAACATCTACCAGGACGTTTCAACTGTGTGGCCGATCGACTGTCTCGAGGCAAATCGATACCAGAGTGGCATCTCCTACCAGAAGCGACACACAAAATATTTCAAAAATTCGGTATACCTCAGGTGGATCTCTTCGCATCAGCGCGAGCCCACGTAGTTCCCCATTACGCGTCCCTAGACCCGAGGGACGAGGCCGCTCTATTCCACAATGCCTTCAGCAGGCGATGGGAGTACCAACTAGCTTGGGTGTTTCCTCCTCCATCACTCATGCCTCGGGTTTTGACTCACCTAAACAATTGCAGAGGCCAGTATATTGTAGTAGCCCCCCACTGGATAAAGTCGTTTTGGAGACCAGATCTACAGAACAGAGCCCTCAGCAGGCCAGTTCTAATACACGACCTACAGAGAACTCTAATAGACGTAACTACCAACCTACCGCTCCCCAAGGTAACCGATTTGATATTGAAAGCTTGGCTGATTGGAGCTGGGACACCTTACTGAAAAATTGGACCCCAGCAGAGAAGGCCGTATTGATGAACGGTTGGCGGAAATCTACTTTGATGTCATATAAACCGGCCTGGAATCGATGGGTAAAGTGGTGTTTAAAAAACGAAGTTTCCATTATTACACCGCAAGCAAAAGACCTCGCCAAGTTCCTCGCAGATCTTCATATTACAGAAAAGCTTGCCCCATCAACCATACAGTTACATAAATCTGTTGTTTCCACTATTTGCGAACCGCATTTGAATAAAAAATTAAGTCAAGACACATTTGTGCGGCGAGTGTTAAAATCTGTTTCAGTAGCACGCCCCATTAATAGGAAAGTCCCCATTTGGGACCCGCAACAGGTTGTACAATGGCTTCAAAACAATGTGCCGATTAATATTTCATTTTTCGAAGCGTGTCGGCGTTGTGCTACAATATTATTACTTACATCGGGAAGGAGAGTTCATGATTTAACATTGTTATCCATTTCACCAGGTCACATACAAGAGGATAATACTAACATTATTTTGTGGCCAATATTTGGTTCGAAAACAGACACCGCACAACACCAACAATCGGGATGGAAACTTAGACCTCATGATGTTCAAGCAATTTGCCCTGTGTACTGGGTAAAAAAGGTCATTGAACTATCGAAATCAAGAAGAGGCTCACTTCAACAACTATTCCTCACGACTCGAGGAACGCCGAAGCCTGCCTCCAGGACGGTCATTGGCGGTTGGGTAAGAACTGTTCTTAAATCTGCAGGTATAGACGCTACACCTGGCAGCAGTCGCTCTGCAGTTGCCTCTTACAACTGGTTATGTAACGTCCCATTAGACACCATACTCGAGAAAGGTAACTGGAGACGGGCTTCGACCTTCCATAAACATTACTGTAGAAAAATAAATAAGACTATTAGTGCTAATAATAACACATCAAATGTATCAAATTTATTTAATGCAATTTAGAATATTATTGAATTATTTACAAATGCATGCTAAATACGTAATTGTTGTCTATTTATCAAATTATACAATGTTTCTTACGGAATGTTAGTTTACTTACAAACTATAATACAAAGATTATCACTAAATAAATATCTTTCTTTTAAACAGTATGAAAACTTTAACGATTCACTTCATTTCTATCACATGACATTCACTTATTCACTGTAGCCCGTGTTCACTATTTAGCTTCTCACACCTCTCACCAGGTGGTAACAAACACTTCTCACCATACCCGGACAAGGCGAGGAATGCACAATGATAAGGTTTTACCTACCAATAAAACCGCCATTGTGCTCCGAGCCTTGTCCGGGCAATTTAAATTGCACCTGGTGAGAACAATGAGGGAAACCGCGTGTCGAGTTTGAACAACAGCCACCGCACCCCCACACTGGTGGAGGGGTGAGCAGCGTGGTGGTAAGGATCCAACGACCAATCGGAGGGCAGAAGAAGGAGAAATTCAGTGTTGCCAGTTGTCAAATCGTGTTTTGTACCAAAAATTTAGCAATAGCTCTCTCACCATACCCGGACAAGGCTCGGAGCACAATGGCGGTTTAATTGGTAGGTAAAACCTTATCAATAAACAAATTACTTTGTTGTTGTAGATACTTCTCCACAACCCGACCGAAACGCCGAAGATGGCCAACCTAGGCGAGATATACAGCCCCGGCATAGAAGCGCGAGTTGCTATTCAACCTCGGATTTTAGATGCTCAACCAGCTCTGAGATCTATAGATGTAAAGAAACGGTTGTGTGTGTTTTCTAGTGAACGAAATTTAGTGTTTTTCAGGTAAGAATATTTGGATGCAACTTTACGACATAGGAAGTATATTTTAATCTTATTCACGTAAGGCACGGGCCTTTGATATGAGAATTATGTTAATAAAGAAACGGTAAAAGAGATTCAATAATATATGCTCTTAATCTACGACCTATCTCTTTAAGTCTTAGGATAGGATGGAAAAAAGCTTTAAGTTCTCTTTGCTTACATGTCAACTTTTCAGTCTTTGTTGCTTTTTTATAAAAAAAAGTGCGCATTTAACTTTCATCTCACCTTAGACCCGTCGTCCATTTATTTGTAAGTCAATGATCTCACCCGATGGAATAGCATAGCATGCACGCTTAAGTACTGCCTATTCACTCTCGCTTTGAAAGCCCAAGTTATTGCATTTGGGGAATAAGTCTGCAGGCAGAGAATACTAGGTACTCCTTAGCCGTTCGCCATATAAATATGAAAGCGAAGCGTGTTTCGTGCGAGTCCTTGATGTACCTCAAAATAGGGGTGGAACCCCAGCCTTCGTCCAGTCCCCCGATGATGGAAAGAGGAAGGCGGAATTAAATCGTGCAATACCATCGCACACTGTCGATGATATCTCCTGTAGAACTACTGAAAACAGGGTGGTCTGCATTTATTTAATATTAGACGTAAATGGTTGAAGACCACCATCTTACTCACTTTTGGATATATCACGGAGAGTGTGCGATGGAATTACACGATTTAATTCCGCTTTCTCCTTTCCAGCACCGAGGGACTAGGCGTAGGATTGGGTTCCACCCCTGTGTTGTAGATATTCCAAAGATTCACACGAAGCGTTACGCTTCCACATTTATATGGCGAACGGCCATGGAGTGAAATTCCCTGCCTGTAGTCTTGTTCGCTCAACGTTATAACTCGGGCCTTTTCAAGGCGAGAGTGCATGGCATTATTTAGGTGTGTATGCTCCATCGTTGACCTCATCGTCACTTTCCATCAGGTGAGATCATGGTGAGATGGACATCAAATGCGCACTTGTAATTTAAAAAAAAACTCAGCCGTGGCCTTACGACCTGTAAAGAGCCAAAAATGTTGGTTTGTTTCAAAAAATAAATGATCGCGATTTAGTTAAGAAAACAACAGATTCATTTCCAATGTATTGTTTACGGCAAGATCACGTTTTAAGTAAACGTTTTAATGAAGCCATTTATTTTTAAGCTGCGGTGCCTAATGATTTGACCTACCGCCTCTCAAGCAAGGCCGTGGGTGAAAGTTTTTCGGAATTTATGTGCGAAATTTAATTTGAAATATACCATGAGCTTTTCGGTGAAGGAAAACGTCGTGATGAAAACTACACGTCGAAAAGGTTCACCACCCTCGGAAAACGTGACAAGTCCGACTTTCAAATGGCCTATTACTCGCCTGAGAGAAGACCCGTGCTCAGCAATGGGACGTATGAATGGGTTGATGATGATGAAACGTTTTAATATTTCAGAACTTACACATTAAGGAACTGTGAAATGGAGTGTGAAGCTCACGAGATGCTAGAAAACTGTAATTGTGTTCTTTATTATATGCCCAGTAAGTAAATTATAAAAAACACAAGTACATTATTTAAGTCTATGCATGGTTCTCTAACACTAGTTACATTATAGAAAACAGAACGACAAGAGTATGCGGAAAAGTTGACGTAAAATGCTACACAGATTTCTGGAGAAACAATAGTCAAGGTCAGTAACAATAACAAAAGAACCTAATATAAGTATTAAGAATGTAATTTGTTATTTGTTGTATAAATGCACTGTACACACTGTATACCTACAATACATAACACTTTGCGACTACAATACTAGACTTAAAACAAATGGAGAGCACAATATGCCTCATTTTAGTCCTTAAATACAAGTTAAACAAATAATACATCATTATTTGTTACATTCATTTAACAGCCTGTAGAAGAAACGTTTACAAAAGTTTGCATTATGTATGAGAAAAATATCTGCCACAGCGCATCAATCGGCAAAGGCGCAATGCCCCCGGGAGTGTGTTAAATAAATTATATAAGTATAACGAAAAAATAACGAACGTGACGGACAGCGTGTGCGCTGTGCTATTACGGAATCCGTCATCCAATCCGCTTAAGCGCTGGCCACACCGCGAACGAAGCTAAATTAACTCAGCTTAGTTCACGTAGCCGGGACATCTATTCATACTTTGGTTAACACCGCGGACTAAGCTAACTAAACTAACCCAACGATCGCTAAGCTACGTGAAATATATTGCTCTTCTGCCGCCTTTCACCCCCGCACGTATCCATATTGTAGCACATCACTACTTACTAAGTATTGTCTCAGCTTAGCTTTGCAAGCAACTACGTGAGCTGAGCTAAGGCTTAGCGGGTATAGTTGGTTGCATAAACTACGTGAACTAAGCTAAGTTAGCTTACCTTCGTTCACGGTGTGACCTGCGCTTTATTGTCGTGCCAATGAAAGTACATAGAATATGCATATTTCGATATAATAAATTTAATTTATATGCATTTGTGTTAACTACGTCGCACTTTACCTAATATAAAATACGCTCTTCTTTTAACATCAACGAATGATCTAGGTATTCAATAGCTACTTCATAAAAATAATATAAATAAAAAAACTATACAATCTTGACATCATTGTTAACGAAATGAAAGGGTATTTAATTTGGCAACATCAGTTTGTTATATAAAATTTAAATTAAATTTAAAAAAACCCCGACACAACAATGTACTCCTGAAAGTCAACAAAGTTACCATATCGACGCCTTACTTTCTCAAACACGTATCTTATAAAAAGTGATTATTTAGGAGATGGCAAAAATTTCTATTTATTTTAAATTTCTTATCAAGAGTGTTAAATTGGATGCATTACTTTAAGAATAAGTAATAACCAGTATGTGAATATGTGGGAAATGTGATGTGAAACCAGCCTGCAAATTTGTATATACAATGCATTTTTTGCATTTCAGTTACATTGTGCTTTAACTACGAGTTTGAGAAAGTAAGGCGACGATATGTAAGCTAACAACTGGTGTAGACCAATACAATAAAACCATACACGATAATTCCATTATAAGTAGTTCTTTCCTGGTTGCAGCATCAGATCTTTCAAATTATCTTTATTTCATACGTAAGCAAATTACACTCGAAATCGTGATATTAAATGAACTCTACTGCTCATTCGTAAGGCAAAGTCCGCTGAGAAGAATGAACAAGAAACTCTAGGGGTTGCTCTTTCAAATATGCATTTGAATACACTTAACATTTACAATATTTATTTCAAACATCTTACATTGAATAACCGGAATCTTAATATAGAAGCTTATATATTGCCTTGCTTTTTTTCCAATATCTATGATTGCCCCTTAGAGGAATTTGTAATTTTATTAAGAAGACTGTCAAGAATAGCTAGTTTATTTCTATTTCTTGTGTTAATGTTATATCTGTCACTATTTTTAATAAAAAAAATAATGCTATTCTTCTTAACGTAAATAACATTTTCGTAAATGTACTGTGACGCTAGTGTAAGAATGTTCATCTTAATCTCTATAAACTTATCTGTCAAAGACACTCTGGGGCCCAGATTGTAAATTGCCCTAACCCCACTGTCGCAGTGGTCCAGGTTACCACATATTGCGATGACATTGTAACATTTTTATAGTATACCAAATTTCAAATTGATGAGACAAGTGATAGTAACATAAATATTCATTTTATGACTGAGATTCCTGCACTAACTGGGAAAGTAGCTGATGGTCTTTTTTTTAATTCTTCAATTTAAAAAAAAACTTTTAGATCAGTCTTTCTGGCGTACAGATACACAGACAAACTTGTAACTTGTAACAAACTTGTAAGTTCCCTTTTTAAGCGTCTGAATTTTCCAATTTTTCTTGTGCAGCAGTTTGAAAATAGAAGACATCTTTAAAAACGGATCTATTTTTTTGGATCTAAATCGCGTATAGGTGTTTGTTTTTTGAAACAAACTAATATTCGGGTCCATTACATGTCTCATGGTCAGAAAAAATAAGGTGGTTTGCATTAATATTAGACATAACTGTTTGTTGACTTTAATATTCACCCGTGCCCGTGGGGCCCGAAATGTTGGTTTGTTTGAAAAAATCTTTCTTTAACTCTACAAATTAACTAATTGCAGAAGAACGCAATCGTATATGCGAAGAGTGCTCTCCTGCGTGTACGGAAATCTCCTACCAGGAACAGATGACTGCAGCACCGCTCAACAATAGACTTGTGAAGAAGATAGCACAAACGGTTGAGAGCAGGACTCCCGAATATTTTACGTAAATATCCTATTGTAATAACTAATGCTTATTATAATACTGTATTTACCGTAATATGTATAGAACCAACTAATATCTTCTTGTAGTGATGTAGAAAGAGAAGAAAAAAACATTTACAACTGTATTAGATTGCAAATGCATTGTGAAGACATAAGAGTAAATCCACTATTTTTGGTGACCTATTTTCGGCGTTTAAGCTTCAGTACAGTAATTAGAAAATACAAGCACCGCAATCCGTCCAAATTAACACTTATTATTATATATAACACTTCGATTTTCGAGTATTTGTGTACAGAAAGTATTCAAAAGCAAACTCTGTAACTGCAATTTAGACTGTAGTAATATCAAAATTTTACTAAACGTTTCAGCCAAAACATGCTTGTCGTACACTTCTACTTTGAAGACAACAAATTCATGAGATACACAAAAGGCGAAATATTCGGACTTACAGAGTTTCTTTGTAAGTATACGACAAAAAGTTTTTTTTATAATACCAAGTGATGGGATAACAAGAGACACGCCTGTCCATAACAGTTGCAGTGCCACTCAGAGCTCTATAAATCACAAAGGTCGGACGGGCACAGTCACTGCGCCCATCACCCTAATGCATAGTTGGCACGATCCACTTGCCTCTATTTTCACCAGCACCCTTACCCTTTCAAACCGAAACGCAGTAATGCGCACATTATTGCGTGGCGGCAGAACAGGTAAGGTGGCAGTACTTCTCTGGGCGAACTCTTTCACAGGAGCTTTACTATTACTTTTATTACCAGCCAATGGACACAAAGTAAATAATTTTTTTTTTTTAATAAATATTGGCTTTTAAAATCAATATGCAATATTTTTTGTTGTAATACCTGATTTTAAAAACCTGTCAAGTACCATTTTATTAAGACTGCTAACAGACTGACTGCATGTTTGCAGTTAATGCGTGTAGTCGTAATTAACTTCATGCAGGCTTCATGACACGTGATAATAACTTCACGCATTAACTGCATCCAGTCGAAACCGACTTCATGTAGCCAAGATCGACTACATGCAGTTAATGCGTAAAATCGTTATCGACTTAACGCAGTCGTGGCTGCATGAAGTTGATTACAACTTCACACATTAACTGCAAACATGCAGTCAATCTGTTCGCAACCTAAGAATGTATAGTGTATGACTATCTATCAAAAATATAATTAATTGGAACTTATTTACTAATAATGGAAGTAAATTACGATGCTGCTCCGCCAGTCCAAAGACGCTTACATCGGGAAAAAGCCTGCGCTTGCGTTGAATATTTTTTTCATGCAGTTAATTTCTCAACCATGAGAGTTTCGCATAAAATAAATAACACTAGCGCTACTAAAATCACAAATACCTCTATACTCGACACGTGTTTCGCCTCTACGGGGCGTCCAGTGGTTATTCATTGAGAGTGGGAAAATAAACTTTACATGAAAAGATTTCATCCTCACTGGGTTCGCGGAGTAGCAATGTACTTCCATTGTCATTAACAAGGATTTCTGCAAAGTAATGCCTGAATCTAAAACAACTTGTTCACGTTTATTGAAATTGTATTGTTTGTTGTAGGAAAGGTCGTGATTTGTGTATTAGGTATAATTTTCTAATTTTCTTTCAGCAAACACAGGCGGTCTGTTAGGGCTGTGCATGGGGTTTAGTATGATGAGCCTGATTGAGCTCCTATACTTCTGCACGCTCCGTGCAATATGCCTTGCGACGAGACGACGGCCTAAGCCTTTTACGCAGTAACTTTGTTCGCACCTATAGGTACTGACACAAGCTTCACGAAGTTGAAATGTTTTTCTTAGAGATAATGAACATTGTCAATAGGGACCTGGTGACCTGTAATACAGGCATGTTAACGTCTCAAGTAACACCAGATTAATACTCTGGCCACACAGAGGCGTCAGCCGCGCGTTTCAGTGTGGCAGGGTTCATATAAACTCGTACATTACAAAAATTCCCGTGCCCGGAACGCTTCCGCAGCCGCCGGTGTGGCCTGAGCATTAATGTTAAAGTCGGTACAACCTAAAATCCAATGGCTTTAGTTGATTCCGTATAAAAGTGACAGTGTTAAATCAATGACTTTGGAAAAAATATATAGTAAAATTGAGAATATACAATGAATAATAGATAGATAAACACTTTATTGCGCACACACAAGAACAAGAATAGTACAAAAACAACTTAAAAGTAATGTGGGCAAAGGCGGTCTTATCACTAAGAGCGATCTCTTCCAAACAGCCTTTGCGGTAGTGGAAAGCTAATCGGAGCGGGAGACGTAGTGTGCCGATTTTACAATTAAAAAAATAAAAATAATTGTATAAATAAAAAAATACAAAATAAATAAATAAAATAAAAACACATAGTAATTTATCAAAAATTTAATAAGCAACGATATATTATACCTAGATATATGTATGTATAAATATACCTAAATAAACTTATTCTTACTAATAAATATATACACGATGCAGACTAGGACCGTGTTAGAAGATATTTACGCAATCCGGTTTTGAAAATAGGTAGCAACTTAGAATGTCGGGTTTCAAATGGGAGATCGTTCCACAATTTTTCAAATTTAATCATAAAGGAATCTTTGTAACACTCAGAGCGAGTGTTAGAGTACTCAATAATGTACGGTGTGAAAACACGATTCCTAAAAATTTTCACGATATAAAAAATACGATAGAAAAAACACTAACTCAGTTATTCAAAATTTTACAAGACCGCTTCAATATATATGAACTTTACATTTATTTTTAAATCAACCGAACTAAATACAACACGTATAGCATACGATATACATTTTTCAAATTGCTTTAATTTCCTTTTTTAAAAAATAAATTCTGATATAAAGCCAGTGTACATATGTATGTATAAAATGAATCGTATTAGTACGTGGAAAGTTTGACTTCGAGCCGTGGTAGTATCGACTCTTAAAACTCACTAGTCAGTAATAATTTACCATCAGCACTTGCATAATTTACCTTGTATATTGAGAGAAAATAAATTAAAAAATAAAAAATAAATAAAATTGTTTCTAGAAACAACTTTTAAACTTTTTTAACCAACATGTTAAAGTTTTGCTTTGGAAAATAAAGGACAGAGAGTGTTATAGTAAAAAACATATTCATTATAAACAACTTTTCTTCATCTCGCTCTAACTTCGAAAATTAGAAAGAAATAACGACTAATATTGACATGATGAATATTTTTTTAAGATAAAAATTAAATCGCAAAGATCTGAGGGGCACTACCACTACGCCCGTCACCCTCAGACATAAAGTTAACAAACCTCATGTAATTTCATCAGCTTCTTTACCCTTCAAAATCAGAATGCAATAATTACTGCTTGATGGCAGAAATACTTACAATTCCCTAAACGAACTCTTTCATAATGAATATATAATTATGGCTAAAGTTAATACATGATTTATTGTTTATAAAAAAAGGTAAAAATCCCTCAATCTGACTAGACTGGAACCAATGTCTGTTGCCATGCCGGGGACACCGCTCCTAACGCACTGAACTACAGACCGAGTCAGTATATCCTACGAATTTCTCTATCGGTTTGTTAGAGATCTTTGTATAGAGTGGCGGATTTGCAGTGTTGGCCGGCCTAGGCCCCAGGCCATGTAGTCAGTACCAGCCGCCCCTTTCTCAACACTTATCATATACCGGTAGACTACATAATTTACTTAATTTATACTACATAATTTACGTGGCAAACTTTTATGTAGGCCTTTTTAAGACCGACTACTTTCAAGAACATTGATTTGATCTCTTATTACATTATACACTTAAACCTTCCTCATGAATCACTTTGTCTATTAGTGGAAACCGCATGCAAATACGTTCAGTAGTTTTTGAATTTATCGCGATCAGACAGAATACAGACGCGGTAGTGATAATATAGTGATTACACATTACATTATAGATATGTAACATATGTATATTTTATTCATAAAATGTACGAAAGTGATTTAGGCAGATTATTGTTTTACGATACGGTGCAGTGCGGCCCGCCATAATGTGCGGGAGCCTTTAACATATTTAGGTAATTTGAGTTATTTCTTGCTATCAGTGAATTTTTTGTCACGATTGGCCGCCCCTAAAATCTGGCCGCCTTAGGCCCGGGCCTACGGGGCCTTAGGGCAAATCCGCCACTGTGTATAGAGTTCAAACGGCTTCTTTTTTGCAATTGCCACCTGTGAGAAACTTATGAAGTTAGAATCCAGTCAAATCGAAGGATTTTTTCGTTGTATTGTTCGATTTTTGTATGTATGTTTTGATTCAAGATTTTTTATAATACGGGAATTCAAATAAAGAAATGCTTCGATGTGACTGGATTCGAACCAGCTACAGACCGAGTCAGATCTTAAGAATTTCTCTATGTGCTTGTTACAGATCTTTGTATTGGGTTTATAAGATTTCTCACAGGAGTGAAGTATGTGAATATCATGGTAGTTATACATCATGATATTAAGTAAGTAAATAAATACTACATATCTTATTTATTTATAATTCTTACTGCACCTACGTAACTTACTCGTATATGTACTATAATACTGTTCATTACTTTATCATAGCATGACGGTATGTTAAAAAGTAATATAATTAAAATTAATAAACGTTAGTGCAATTGAGCGTCTGTAAAATGAAACGATTATAGAAATTTTCAGCAAAACCTTGGCTTATTATTCTTTCGCCTTTACTCTTAATATTACGATAATAATAATTATATTTGTTTTCGCCAATAATCACTGATAAATAAATGTGCACGAGCCTCAAAAGCACCTACTTTTTTATTGTAGTTTATTGTTTTTTAATCGACTTCAAAAAAAGGAGGTTCTCAATTCGGTTATTTTTGTATTATTATTTAATTGCATTTGTGAGCCGATTTTGAGGATTCTTTTTTGTTAGAAAGAGGGTACATCAGTAGTGGTACCATTTGGATTTGAAGAAAATATTCCATCTCTAAGGGTGGCAAACTTGGGGATGAATCCGGTTTCGCGCACTTTCCGGTAACCGATATCAATAAAACTTGGCAAATAGATGTAACTCCACGAACTGTTGAAGTAAAAACCGAGTAGTATGTACTTATTTTTCTTTAAAAGTTTGTTTTTGTTCTGTAGTTTTCATTGTAAAATCCTGGATAAAATACGTTCCTGAAGATCCCAAAGAATTTTCAATTGCTTCCTCTTTCTCCCTCTATTTAAACACACTTGGCAAGCGACTTGCCAACCACAATTATTAATAATAATAATATTCTAGAGAACCATACCAATTACTTTATCTCAAACTAGGGAATCCCTGTACTAGAAGTACCAAAGCAAAGGAATTTACTCCTCGAACAGGCAAGAAGCCAGTTCCTGCCTGCAAACATGTTCCCTGAACGTTATAACTTTTCAAGGCGAGAGTGAATAGTGCATGCTACATCGGGTGAAATGGAGGTCAAATGCGCACTTACATTTTATAAATAAAACGAAATAACCAATTTATAAAAGTTAATTTCTCAAATTTGTCCGACCGAGAAATGAAACCCTGGATCGTCTCACCCAGCACCCACAGAGCAAACCGTTGAGTCACCGAGGACGTCAAACTAATTAGTTTCATGGATAAATACATAATAAAAAAAAATTTTTAAATACGAAAAATATAATACTTAATATCACAATTTACTCCAATCCTATTATATTAAACAGATTACATAGTAACATTGAGTTCAGTCTCTATACAAATCCTTATAAAAAAAAAAATAGAATCTTTATTACGCGGCTTAACAATTTTGTCCATAATTTTAATTAAGCACAATCATTTCTACTGGAAAACATGAGGGTTTTTCATTATGCGTGAAATTGCTATACCGCTTAATTAATAGAGACTCGAGAAAATGATGAAATGTGGAACTATACAGCATTTTCATTTTTATTTAATACATTATCAATTATGGAGCTTCGGTACAAAAACCAATAAATTTCGAATCTAGAATGGATTTGTCGCATTGTGCTTTCAAATTATTTTTAAAGTGGATTTAGTTGTTGATATTCGCGGGTCGATAAATTATTCATACAAACAAACAAAAACTACCTTTTGGCAATTTTTAAAGAGAAGAAGACATAATGTGTTCCGACAATCCGCAATTAGCAATATCTCAAAAACTATTTTTTTTTCGAAAAGGTATTCGCCATATTTAGTACGGTTGGGTAATTTTACGAAAAATTTCAAATAGTGGAAATTTTTCCGGAAACATTACCGAAAAATTTACAAAATATAATTTGGAAGGCTCATATTATGTTACAAATCCTGAAAATGTAGAAATACAGAAATATCTTTTAACTTTAATTTAGCGTTAATTATAAAATAAACTTGTATAGCTAAAAGCCTTCTAGAGAAAAACGAGATTTAAAATGATTTCAAAACAACAAAAAAACCTCCAACAACCAAACCACCACCACTTATTGTTGGCTCCATCGTTTTCGTTAGTAACTTCAACTTTTGACAGGTGTCAATGTCAAATGTGGAAAATTAAAGGAAAAATATCTGGAAAAATGATATGAAAAAAAATGAAAATTTTCCATGCCCCAACACTAAACGTATGTACATGACAAAATCTACCGCAGCGCCCTCTACTTTTACGTTTACAAGGGAAAATATTAAATTCCTGTATTAATCAATTAAAGAAAAGCATAATAGTATATAAAGTTGAAAAAAACTCAAGTCTTGTGTGTATCAAACTTAAGGACACTAAACAGAGATAGTTTGCGTTTACTCCATAAACTATAATTGCTTTACTTCTTAATCATATTACTGTGAATTACTTTTCCAAAACACAAAAACTAATTCAAACAGTTTTTATGGAGTTTGTTATATTTTAGTAAACTCCCATGAATCATCAACATGTACAAGATATCGGTTCATAGATGGTAGTTCTCAACAAAACCAATGTCCAATTGGTCCCTAATAGTGCTAGGCCAATTATGGTCTCACAGTAAGGAATTTCCTGTACTATCAGTACCACAGTAACAAAATTAACTCCAAGCCATACTCAGAACACCAGACCAAAACTAATTAAAAAAAATTGTTTCCTAAATTGGAATCGAACACGGGACCTCCACATCTAGTGTCCACAGTTTTATCTGTTGCGCCTTTCAAGTTCTTTAATGAACTAGCATAAATTAAGCTTAAAAATACAAAAAGCTATGAATGTTGTCTGGGCGGGCCCTGCGATGGTGGCGCGGGAGGCGCGGGTGGCGCAGGCTGGTCGGGCGGCTGCAAAGTGCGCGTGCGCCGGCGGGTATAATGTTGCCACAGCAAAATTGCTTGGTCGTCCATGAACTTGCAAACCTGCAATGATAACAACCGAAATGCTTTACCCACAGAGAATTCACAATCTATACAATATTTTTCCTTATTAATTTAGAAAAACAAAATAAAAGTAATAGACGAGTTTTTTTTTTAATAAAGGTTACCTAGGTAAATACCAAAGAGTATCCTATACCCGTGAGGTAATAAGTAGTAGCATAGACCAATATCCATTTACTCAGAATGTGTATAAGTGGTATAGACTAATATCAATTTACTCATAATGTGTATGTAACAATTGTCCATATTTGTATACATGCTTTGCATTCATGAATTAATATGGCACTTTTAAGCTCCAAGATCTTAAGTGCTTTATTGTTTAAGAAAATAAATAGGCAGTTGCTCTTCACTCAAACCACCAATGAATTTTATTGAAAAATATTATAGTTTTATTTTTCACAGGTAAAGTGAAACACAGAGTATTGTATACTGTTACAGGACCCATTTGATGGTAAAACTACAGCATTAATTACTTTGTTTGTGCAGCAAAGTTTTCTTGTATTAAATTGATGAGTTTACACCCTTGTTTGAACTGTACACTACTTTAATATTAACATTTCTACCACATAAAAGTTTTTACCTGGTAGAAGAGAGTTTAGTTTATTTTATTGTTGAATGACTGTCACGTCTAACCGTTCCCACTAGATCATGATGACAATTTATCGGTTCACAGCAGCTGCCTTGTCATTTGAACGACATAATCATTTGAAACGGAGTATCTGTCATCGCATTTTTTTTAAGACATATTGTTTTTTGTCAGATGACTGTCAGGAAGAAGTAAGTAAGTGAACTGTACACTATTTTATTATTAACTTATTTCTACCAGGTAAAAGATCTATTCCTAAGTTTTTGAAACTAAGTAAAAACAATAATCATAGTTCCTCTTTATGGTACATAAAGACCCATAATCCAGTACATACTTACCTGAGCAGAAACGCATTCCCTTCTAAACGCTTCATGTTGAAGTAGCTCTAGAAAATGTAGACACATTGGATACTTGAGGTACTGTGCATACTCTGGTTTGCGCCAGTACTGTAGGTATTTCAAATAATTCACGAAGGTCTGTTCTTTTAGATACCCACGCTGTGCTAGAACTGTAAAATGACGAATTATTAATTAGTTCAATGACAGCGTTCCAAATTTTTCTTGTTTTAATATAACCTACAAAAAAACTTACAATGTATATAATTGGGATTTGCCAAACACTGCACGAATTCAAGCTCTACTTGAAATCTAAGTCTGTTAGCTTCTTCTGTCTCTGGCATCACTAAAACAGAGATAAAATTGACATCAAAAATGTTCAAAACCACTGTATAAAAAACACTTCTACAAGCATTTTACTATTTTATCTTGGTTTTTAAAGTGATTTCATTTGTAACATAAAAACATGTGGTTCATACTAACCCTTTGCAGTCATCATTGCTGCAATTATCGAAAATTAAAAGAATTTTGGAAAAATTGTTTTTCCCTTCTTCTTGACTACAAATTACTTTTTTTATTACTTTTATGGCTCTGGGTAGCAGCATGGGCACATAGCATAATCGATATTATATTGCGTATTGCTAAATTAAGTATTAGTAATTGAATCTAAAATTACCGATTATGCTTTATTAAAGGGTCCACTATATTTCCATTTCCAGCCATAAGAAACCTTTAGCAATAGATCATATATTAATGCTCCTATCCCATCCTAAGAAAAAATGTAACTATTAAAACCCGCCATTTGAACTTTCGTTCGAGTTCACAAAACACGTCACAAAGTGCGTTTTGTTTGCTTTTTGAACACAGTGTAGTCGTTGAAACGTTGAAACATAAATTTAAACGTACGCTGTAAAGTGGCATAAATATCAACTAAATTAAATTGCATATCTAATGAATGATTGAAGTAATTATGTTATTAACAAAATTTGCAGCACCAGCAACTGCAACATTTAAACGCTCTGCTAATTTGTAATGGCGGAGCTCAGATTCACTGTGATCACAAAAATTAATTGAGATTTTACGATTACCAGACGCTATTTGTTTCATACTGTGTTGACTAATTATGTTGTTATTGTGGAACTCTATTTAATTTACTTTAGTTTTTCAGTAAAGTTTGTTAATAAGTAGCGAAATCTTAAGGTTGTATTTTGACATTTCTGTACAATGGCTGCAACCAGGCGACTTCAAAAGGTGAGTAATCTTTTTTTATATGAAATATGTACATTTATGTAATTATTTTTGCCAGTAAATGTAATTTAGTATTAGTCTCGAAAGTATGCGACTAGTTTATCATTCTTTACGGTGATATAACCTGAATTTGGTGACAAATTTATATATACTGTAAAAGTGCAAGAAACATCAAAGAATTTCAATTCATACACTCTAAATAAGAAGGTCAAAGCCTTTGTTAATCAAACTTTATCCTACATTGCCTGGAAAACGGTTAACCGCTATAATTAATGTATTATATGCAAATGTGAAATAATTTCGCTGTTACAGGAACTAAATGATATCAGACAATCCGGATTGAAGTCCTTCAGAGATATCCAGGTGGATGAATCAAATATCCTCACTTGGCAAGGATTAATTGTTCCTGTAAGTACCTGTATAACTTAACATATTATAATATGTACAACAGTATCAATCTTGTGATTCTAGTGACTAATTTTCATTTAAACTCACAAATGCACATGCCGTCTTGTTTGTTTTCATTGTTCTCCATAGTTAACCCTTGATACAAAAAGAGGGGAGGTACAAGTTTGAAGACTGCCTGTGAAGTTATGTATCTGTCTGTGACATTGTAGCTACGACCATCTGTTGTGGATGTTTTTTTAGTGTTGAATGACAATCGTGTCTAGCCATTCCCAATAGATCGTGACAACAATTTATCGGTTCATGGCAGCTGCCTTGTCGTTTCCACAACAGAATCATTTGTAATGGCAATTATCTGTCACATTTTTATTCTGACATTATATTTATCGTCAGATGACTGGCGGCAAGAAGTAACAATTAGTGTACAATGCAAAAATATATGAAAAACATATTCTAAATTTTTCCTAGAATAAAACTTCTAATCTCAAAAGAATTTTTATCTGTATAACCTAATTATGTATCCCTAAATACATTTTGCTTGAGTAAGTATTATTATGTATTATAAAAGTTACATATTAAATAAATAAATATACTTATATATTATTATACATACGTATATTTAGTAGACCTCTGAAATTTGAAAGAAATTATATTATATGTTGTTTGTATTGATGAACAGAACCACCCCCTGAAATGCTTACAGATTGTTAGAGAGTGACCTTGTACAACTTATTCTATTTTTTAAATGTTTTGAAGAAAAATCAAATTAATCTTAAACACCTGTTCAGTTGACTGATTTATTCCTTATCTACCATTGACTTACAATTATATAGACGTCGGGTCCGCGCTAAAAAGTGTCCGAACTTATAGGGCGTTAAAATCGTATACAGAGCGTCATTCACGCTTTAGTCTTCGTTTGTTTGACTGACAGCGAAGCAAGCAAAATTAGACAGTACTGCGATGACATTACAATTTAAATTCAACGTTTTAGCTTTTTCATATTCCTTTACATGTCACTATGTTTAAATAGGTTGACTTGGGACATTTTTTTTGTGGTTTTTGTATTAGACCCGTCGTCCTATTATTTGTAAGTCAATGTTATCTATCATTAATTTGTTTGCCTGTATAAATGTGTTTAGCTATCACATATCTATCATTTATATCATCACAATCATAATTCTTATGTATTTTTTGTACTAGACTCTTACACTACTTTGATAAGTTTTTTATTATCTATATTTTTTATCTTTTTCAACGTGCAGTTGTGACTACAACATTTTCCTTTGCAGTTAAATTATTAATGTAAAGAAACATGTATTTCAATTTCAATAGAGCAACATACAAACTGGTTTACTTAGGAATCTACCCTATAAAGTGCAGTAGCTCCAAGAGAAGATTTCAGTAAAATATACTTCAAAACTTGAAAATTTCAGGACAATCCACCATACAACAAAGGCGCATTCCGCATTGAGATTAATTTCCCAGCGGAGTATCCTTTCAAGCCCCCTAAGATAAGCTTCAAGACAAAAATTTACCATCCAAATATCGATGAAAAGGGACAAGTGTGTCTGCCTATTATCAGTGCTGAGAACTGGAAGCCTGCCACCAAGACTGATCAAGGTGAATTACTCTGTCTCTCTCTTTATTTTCAGAAGATATTTTTAATGGTCTACTAGTTTTTTTATGTAGTTTAAAGAGGCCTGAAACATCCGGGCGTTTATGTCGGCCTTGTAATGTATGTATACAAATGACTATCCTACTTTATCTGTCACTGCTCCCATGAGAGTTATTGCTCCTCATCAGAAAGCAAAACCTCACATAGAAGTATAGAGCTTCAGCACTCTTCTTCAATAGGTTGCTCAGCATTAAATTTAGCTCTCCTACCTGAATGGTCTACTAGTTAATGAAGAAGTTCAGCAAAATATTTTCATTGTATTGGTAATAACTCAACCTTTGTTTATTAATCACTAGACTCGAGCTTATATTAAACTGTACAATCTTTTATGCAGGACGCTTGACCTGGATTAAATAAATGTTGTTGCAAAAAAGTTGCATTTTCTAAGACAGTAAAGCATGTAGAAAGTAGTAGTGTTCCGCCCTAGTGCGCAAAAGTGGCATTTGCCTGCACAACGCAGAAAAGTTTATTATGTTTTTAGAAGGCAAAGTAATTTAAAACTTTATTTGGTAGGTCCCTACCAAATAAAGTTTTCAAGTTTTTATTCAGAATAATAAATTTAAAAAAATTTAGTTTTCTAAATTATTGTTGTAACAGATGACAAAGAAATTGGGTAACGTGAAATTAAATCACCAAGATGTGACAAAATTGCGAGAACGTTTAAAAACAGTCAAACTTAGCATAGGTTTTAGAGCCCGCAGATAGATATCTCTTGCGCTCACCGCGTTTTGCGGGCCATCCGCCTAACACTTCGTATTTTGCGACTTATGGAATTGTTTTCATACACAGAAAACCCAATTAAAGTCACTTTTTCATGCAAATATACAATGTCTTACACAAAGGTCAACATTTAAGCCCTCCCTGCGGCTCTAGCGAAGTCAAGTCATTTGCAAACTTAATAGCCTTTTCCAGTTGCAATTTACAAACGTTTAGATTCCAATGATATGGGAATAATAAATAAATGTATTTCATTAGCCACTTCAGTAGACTTAGCAGGGCTAAGGTATTTTACAAAAGATATTGCAAAAGGCAGCTTTAATTAAGCCCAATAAAACACACTGTTAGTTTTTTTTTTTAATTTTGATAACAGCTACAGCTAAGCACTTGCATCAATTATAGATGGAAAAAGATAAAATGATAACATAAAATGATATCCGTCGATATCTTTTTAAAAAATATATAAATAGTCATATACACCTACCCCTACACATAACCTTGGATGGCCAAGGTTGTCAGCAACTATAATATTGCAATTCTGTTATTTTTTCCAGTAATCCAAGCTCTAGTGGCTCTCGTAAATGATCCAGAGCCGGAACACCCGCTGCGGGCGGAACTCGCCGAGGAATTCCTGAAGGACAGGAAAAAGTTCCTGAAGAATGCAGAAGAGTTCACCAAAAAGCACAGTGAAAAGCGGCCTTCTGACTAAATTAATTTTAGTATCGTCCAGCGGAGTTTACAGCAATGATCGTGTTTTTTTTCTAGTGTTACAACAAGGTATAGAAACTTTTCAAATAAATACATAATATAAACTTGAGATTAAAGTTTATTTCACTACTACAACTCTTACAGTTTTCCTGTAACTTGTTGCAACATTCTCTGAATACTAAATATGCCTGGCTTTAGTAAGCACAATGATATGTGTGCTCAATGTTTATTTAAATTTTTGTTGAAATTTATTTTGTTGACAGTCTAGCGAAATTTTATGTATTTTTTGTTAATAATAGTCTGAAAATAATGGAAAGAAATACTACACCTTTGTTGTTGTAGATTCAATATTTTACAACTTTCTGAAACAGCAAATTTGCTTTTATCAACCACCCAATTTACATGCAATACAATACACTATGCACTCTTACAAAATATAATTAGAAACAGCCAGGCATATAGCTTTATTATGCTTAACTTGATTTTAGATTTTGGAGTTATATTAGTTTGGGTAATGGTACATTAGGAATTTTCCCAATTTGAAAGTTTTATTTACAATTTTTAAACCATGATTTGAATCTGATCGCAGTGGATGTACCTTATTCGAGTGTCATCATAATCATGTATTTAAATTTGACAAGTCAGGTAAAAAGTCGTGATTTATTCGGTTCTAGTCACAAAAACCTAAACAAAAAACCACAAAAAGGTGTTTTACTATAATGCAACTAGAACTCACTAAATCATGACTTTTTATTTTACTTACCAAATTGCATGGCATGGCACAGGAATAAGGGCGCCTTCAAATTAGACGCTTATAGAAGCGCATCAGTAGCGCTGCAGTGACGTTGCAGCCGCGCCACTACAAATTTTTATACAATTTTTAGAAGCGCAGCTGCAGCGCCACAAACGCGCTCGCCACTTTGCAGACTAGATATTGTATGAAAATTAATAATGGCGCAGCTGCAGCGCCACTCCAGCGCTACTGATGCGCCACTGCAGCGCTTCTGCAAACGTCTAATTTGAAGGCGCGCTCTAAACGGCGGTCCGGATCTGATCTCAACGGTGATCTGCTGTTAACTCTATACAATAAGTATCTTAGCTGTGTTAGTGCTTGTTTGAAGCAACTTAAAGGATTGTTATCATTTCTCAAGTCAATACTATCTTATCACTATACAGCTATGTAAATAGGTCAATAGTAGAAATACGTTTTGAAAACTTGAAACTAAATATTAGTTTAATCATTTCATAATGTGCATTTTATGGTTAATGGTATGTTAAATATTATTGTGGTGACTTGTTCGTTTTGATCATGCGATTTTTCATTTATGGCTGGGGAATTACGCGCGCTCATTTTGGACGACAGTGACAAGTTTTAGCGGTTAGATGCAGTTGCTAATCGTCTACCTTTACACACTCCCACGAGCTAAGCAGCATACAAACGAGATGCACGTTTTTAATGATTCAACATAAGCGATTTCATCGACACAGTAAACGCATTTGTATCGCGGCTAAAAGTCACCTTATATATCCGCTCTTAAACTACAGCGATATCGAGCGTGCAATGAGTTATAAGTTTTCACAATTGGGCCTAATTGTGCGCGCGTAAATTCAGCTGTTTTGTTCCGATTTGTCTCTTGCTTTACAATTCGGAGTGTTAACAATCTCAAGAAATGAAGTATCGTTTTTCTAGACTTATAAATCCCATGATTAGATGCTGCGAGATCGTATTATTATTATTTAATCTCCTTTAAGTCAACGTGTTGTTCTGTAACATTCTGTGTGCTGAACAGTTCAGTGAGAAACTTTGAAATATATATTTTTTTCGAATTGACTTCATTGTTTTTGGAGTGCCATAGGATTCGTCAAGTTCTATTCAACAAATTCATAGAAAATAACAACAATAGCAAAATGTACGTGTCTACTTTGAAAAGTCCGTGTTTTCGGATACTGGACGAATGGAAAATTAAGACATTATTCAATTATTCAGAAACTATCAAATCGAACCCCAATGTATTGCAGGTCAAATGTTTTTTCTTGATAGACAAACCGAGATAGATAAACCGTGTGGTTTATTTACGATATAGGTCCAATCATTTTCTATCAAAAAAAAATCCATCTGCAGGTACTTGCGGCTTTACGAGTAGTGTCAACATTTTAGTGAAAAGGTGTCAACATTTTAGACTTCTTATTTATTTTTAACATAACATACTAGTTTCTACTTAACTTTCATGTTATTGTTATAACACTCTCTAAATTATACTAAAATTAATTTTTCTTTAGTCGAAGCTCATGTATTTTGTTAAAAAAGTACATAAAAGAGTTAGCAATTTTGCCGCACCTTTACTTAGAAAGCCGCAAGTACATGCAGACGGATTATTTTTTTCTACATAGAAAATCATTGGAACTATACTAAATCTATGGCGCAGGTTCAAGTCCTGGTCAGGTCGAAGGAATTTATATTTCTAGATTTTTTTTAAGAAGATAAGAAGGCCATGAGGCTAGCACAAGTCACAATATAACTAGCGTGTGGGGGTGTCATTTTACATACATGTACAAGCATATTTGTATTTCTGCCACCACCACCGACGCTGCCACCGTGCGTGGCCCTTAAAACAGTGGCTGCGAATATGACGTGCTCAATGCTGCAAATTCGATCAATCAATCATCAGCCCATTTATACGTCCCACTGCTGGGCACGGGTCTCATGCCAAGCAAGGACTTGGGCATAGGCCGACAATATGCATGTAATTACTTGTCCTATCTATATCCTATGATTATTCTATTTTATACCGTAACTTCCTATGAATTAAATTCCCTATTCGTATTCTGTAAAGATTATTTTATCATCAAAGAAACTTACCTACTTTTATTAGATCCAATCTTGTCAAAATGACTATAGTTTGTATTTTTAATTTTTTTTTGCACCCCTATGTCAATAATTTTCCTCGCTTATATGCTTTACGCGAAGTGCCAAAACAAAAAAAAAAAGAATAAAAGTTTCTAAACGATAATTTATGTAACGTCATAGAAATCCCAGGAATTAGTATGGATGGTCATTTTAAAACATATATCGATGTAATGTCGTCTCGATATTTACAAAATAGTATCGATAAGCCAGAATATAGCTAACAGTCATAAAATATTTTCGGACTACAGATATTAAGTGCATCTGTAAAGTAAAATTTGGAAAGTTACAAACACGTGTTGAAGTTCTAGAAAATTTTGTTAAAGGAAATCCAGGTAAAAAGCATATCAGTGGTCTGCTGTAAGATTTGGGGAAAACGAAACATTATATTATGCGGGCTGGGATGCTCCGCGAAAACTACCAGACGTTGGCGAAAACTACGATTTAAAATTTTGTATTTATGCTACAAATATTTATTTGTACCTACAACATACCAAGTGACGCTCAACTATTATTTGTACATATTATGACTGTGACTGTGATAAAAAAAAACCGATACATAGTAGAAAAAAATTGCATTTTTTCACATATCGTCGCTTTAAAGTAAAAATGAAAAAACGCATACTCGTTTTCACATAATTCTTTTTTACAGATTTTTTTTTTAAGAAAAGCTTAGAAACTTCTTGCTCAAGTAGGTGTATTAATATAATATCTGGAAGAGGTGTAATGTAAGTAATTAAAATGCTAACCACAAACACTATCGCGTTTACTTCGTTTTACACCACATTATTATCCTCGTCGTGAAAAATTCCATAGAAATCACATACGAGACTCGTTATACGAGGTATTCACTCTGAGACGATGATGTGGAGATTAATAGTATCGACAATGTATATCGATTACGTCATGAAAAAATATCGATATTTTTTACCCCAAGCCTATGAATTACTCAAATCATCATAATCAATTCGAGGAGGGGTGGACAAAGAAGTTATTTTGTTCCAATTAGTTCTAGAAATCGTGATCCAAATCTTTTAAACTATCCTATGTATAATATAGTTATCTCGCTACTGCTTAATAAACAAGTGTTCAGTAGATTAATACTACAAGATGGCCGGTCACAAGTATATCACAAACTCTAGTAATTTGTTCGACGACGAAGATGTGGATGACGAAACGTTCGTGAACAGCTATAGGCCACGCATACCCGCAACGCAGTCGAAACCTACAACTGCGCCATACGGTGGACATATTGCAGAATTAGAGCGGCAAAGACAAGCTATGTTACTGCGACAGAGGGAAATAGAACAACGAACTTTGGATTCTTCCCATAGAAGTATAGGCCTTCTTCGCGAATCTGAGCAAATAGGCGTCCAGACTGCAGAGGAACTGGTCCGCCAGCGCGAACAGCTCGAAACAACCAACAAAAGGCTTGATGAAATTAACACAAACTTAAACTACAGCCAGAAGCACCTAAATGGTATTAAAAATGTATTCCATGGACTTAAAAACTACATTTCGGGTAAGTCAAATGATACCCCTGCGCGTAGTCAAACCTCGCCTGATGCATCCAGTATGAAAGGTCGGCCCAGTGGCAGTGGCTTGGTCGACACTATAACTGATTTTAATAATGATATAACACCTGAAGATCGGTTCCGTGCACATCCCTCTTCTCGCCTCAAAGGTTTGGACCAGCAAACCATGGCTGAACCTATACCTGATAGCCAGCGTATCAATAAAATGCTCGATGACAACCTAGAAGAGATGGTCCAACATATAACAAGACTAAAAGGCCTTGGTGTTGAACTTGGAAGGGAAATTGATACACAGAATGAACTGATAGACAATATTCAGGATAAGGTTGAAGTGGCCGACATCAAAATTCACAAACAAAATAAGACTATGAACAAACTTCTTGGGAAATAGTATAGATTCAATTGAGTTACCTTATGCTTACGAGGGCCAGGTCTATCGTATCTTATCACATCTACCAATGACCGCAATCTTTTTTTGGGTTGTACTGAGCTTTCTATGCTTCACAGATGGTCCTGCCTTACCTTAGCCACCCCAAGCTATGGCTATGAAACTTATATGTATAACTTAGTCCCTTAGCCCTTATTGTGTAATATATCTAAGTACTCAGTGACAAAGGGTTATGGTGACTCAAAAAAAGGGAAAAAATCTATATAGTAAAATGTTACAATAATTTTTATAAGGTAGATACAGCAATAACTTAAAGGAAATTAATAGATGTGAATGTATATTGCACACAATTTTTTTAACTATCATTTTTTTTTTATTAAGAAATTTGTAGATAAAACTTATGTTCTATTAGTATTTAATTGTTTTGTTCAGTATTTGTAAAGTATATCATACAAAGGTGGTCCTATTTAGATGTTACGTAAAATTTTGTATAGATTTATTTAGATATAGAAAAATCATTTATTTATTTATATAGAAAAATCTCAAAGCTTGGTTATCTATCAAGCATTACCATTGATTTTAAAAATATCAATGTAACATATTATGGATTTTCATTATACTAAATACTGAAAAACCAAAATATTAATTATTACTATAATGCTTATAGAGAAGTACACTACTACAGAAGATATTACAATTATTGTGTTTCCCTCATTTTGTATATTTAATAATAATAAAAGTTATATATAAACACCCTCTATTGTTTCAATGAACTGTGATAAATTATTATTATTTCTTTAATTATGATAAATTGTTATACGTAGTATTATGACTTGCTTATTCAATTTTTTTTTAATCTTTTGAGTCATTGGCACATTAATGTGATACTGTATTTGAGTATATAAAAGTAAAATAAAACAAATTATTCAACTGCATCAAATGGTCCTTTGTAGAATCGAAAAGATCTTTTATTTATTAGTATACAATTTAGATACAACCGTTGACACCGCCAGCGTCAGGTTCAAGGAAGACGCGCTTGGGCTCAATTTATATTACGGCGGGATCCCATTTGACACTTTAAAATTTCCCCGTGCGAGCTCCGGCAAACCATAATTGAGAAATGCAATTTTAGCAATCAATTTTTAACTTTTACATTTTATTTGAAAAACGTCGCGGTTTGTTACTGTATTCGCTTATTTCAACTATTCCTAAAACTAAACGTGCCTCGCTAAAACATCCTTTACCTATAGTTTACGGGACCACTCCTCATTTTAATATTTGAAAGAGATGAAATTGGAGGAAAATACATAATAAATACAACAATACTAGAGACCTCACCGAGTCAAAGTTGTGTAATAAATGAGTAAAATCTCTAATTTCCTCACGTTAGGCTGATTATTTTAGACCATGTAAATTGACCATAAAATTTTGGCCTATTCTAATAGTTTATGTTATACTACTTTTTTTGCACTCTTTACCACGCCATCGCTGGTTGGGATAAGTGGAATTTCATTTCCACTTATCCCTACCCAACCGTTTCTATTAATAAATACAGTCGAGAATAAAACTATGAGACGTATAACTTTTGGCCTATGATCTTTTTTTTCTGTTTTAAGTGTAGCACCAAACTTTTGTTTTTTTTTTCTGTTTAGCCCAATGTTGAAATGGTTGACTGGTAGACAATGCCTTATAGCATTAAGTCCGCCATTTGTACATTATTGTATTGTGCAAAAATATTAACTAAATTACATACAACATACAGAGGAAGCTGTTAAAACGACGGTGTGTCGGTACGAACTGAGATGTTTCTTTACGATAAAACAGCTCAAACCGGCAATGAGGTTTGTAATCTCTTGGCTGCATAGTTTTCCTCTGTGATTTCCCTTCCGATGAAAAATAGCAAACGGCGGGCAAGCAAACCTCTTGGGGTCATAACTTTCCGCAATTCGCACTTCATAGCGTCGAAATGTGTTACAGTTCGGAAAGCGAAGTTCCTAAAATCTGTTCATGCAAGTAAAGGTGCTGGTCCCAACGGTAGATATATTTTATAGATATATTTATGAAAGAAAAGTATCTTCAAACATATTGTATATTTTATAATTATTTACTTTTTAAATCAGTAATTTTTAGAAATACCTACTTTATAAGTATAGTTTACTACAAAATTTCAATAAAAATAATAAAATTTCTGTAATACGATTTTGCTTTCAAGAATATTACAGGAGTTCGGAATTATGCAATAGGCATTTCGCGAATTGGGCTCTGTTAATCTAAGGGTCGTATTCTAGAACTCTATTCAATGCTCAAGTCAGGATTGCCCTGGCAACACAAGCACTGGAAATACGACCCTAATGGCAGGGACTTGAGTATGATTTCGAGTGCTGTAAACCATTCTCAAATCCTGACTTGAGCATTGAGTAGAGTTCTAGAATACGACCCTTAATCTTGTTAGTGCCTATTTAATCTTTTCCGGTTCTGAGTGCATTGAAATCATAGTTCCGATTTCCGTTCATTACTAAATTCACTTGCTCTATTAGAAAGTACAAATTGACGCAATCTGTATATATTAAATGAAAGGCTATTTGGTAGTGCTTAGTTGCCGAGTCATTGCACCATCCAAGCTTACAACATAATGACCTTTTTTGATCTTCCTCTTGAATCTTACTGTTAGAACAGTCGTACGAAGGAATTACTCTATGGGGGACTATTAACCTTTCATTTCTTCTAAACTTTGAATTTCCAAAATATATTGTGGTAAGTTGGTAATAAAAATAGGTAAATCGATGATTACGTACACATAGCACTCAGTACCGAAAAGTCAAATCTGTAAGCAAATTGTAAATAATTTTTAAATAAATCAGTGATAAAATTGTAAATAGTGATTATTCATAGTGTTATATAAGATAGTATCTATCATTATTGATATATGTGACTTGATGAAAAAATAGTACAACAGTTCCTCTATTAGTTCAAAAAATACCTCCACCAGTAGACGGTAGGGATGGATTGGACAGCAAATTAAGTTACGGACGAATGGCTCTGCGTACTCGCACGCTCGGTGAAAATGGTATGGTGCATGGTGTCGCGCACTCTCTAATCTATAGTGTGGTTTAGTGCGGTAATACACGTCCGATTTCGTGTCTAATCCGATCCGACTATCGGATCGGATTCACTCAATACACGTCCGATTCTAACGGCTTACTTTTTCTGAACTAACTGCAGTGTTGCCAATTTACGGGGAATTCCTCAAATACAGGGAATTTCAACTCAACAACTCGTTTGAGGATTTTGTTTGGATTACGCTATGTGGGGAAAGTGACCTCGCATTCTAGAATTTTTTATTTGTTTGTTTATTAACGATATTGATATTGTTTTCAACATCGCACATGCGCTGCTTATATAGCAACATTTATATAGTATAGCATAGGAACGTAGCTTGGGCTTGCGTAGCGAGAGGTACTTTATAAATATAAACGATGATTACATCATAATTATAACTTTCTACGTGTATTCAATTTCAAAGCTTTGTTCAGAACTCTTAGATGTCTGTTTGACATCAACACTCTATTATTCTTACAATTCTAAATACAAAACCTAAGCTGCCTGTACTACAATAGAATTATTAGCAATACGCTTATATGTATAAAATTATCCAGTAGGATTAGAATCACTTTGTCTCGAATTGTAAAATTATTACTATTATCAGTTACCGACAAGAGCCTAGCTCTTAAATAGGATGGTGATGATCAGTCGATGCATGTTGAGCACGCGACCCTTCCTCGTTTTAACCGGTCCCCGGTGTGAAGAAAGAATACAGCTGTTGCCGAATAAAGCCGAGCAGTAGATATTTTAAAGGACTATTCACAGGGTTATGCCCGGGACGTGGACGAGGCGTGCTGTTTGTATGAACTGCGGGGCCGTCCCGGCGCCGGCCCGGACTCGGACATGTGTGACGCGTTCATACAAAATAAACGCAACGATACGATACGATATTTTTTGAGCCCCTGACGGAGCTCAGTCCGTACACGTCCCGGGCACGGTCCGGATATGTATGGATCTATCCATACATATCCGGGCCGTGCGTGCCCTTAATACCACAACTTGCCACTCGTCAAGCTTAATTAGTAAGGTTTAATTTTAATGCAACTTGTTGAGTTTATTTCTAATTATAGCGTAACGTATAATAATATGTAATAGATGGATACATTTTGACTTTCTTAATTATTTGATATATTTTTAAGCGTAACAATAATAATATAATAAATACTGAGAATGAATAATTACGTGTGGGAATGGAATAATGACCTTTGCTCTCCCCTTTATAACCTTGATTTTTGGGGATTTTTAATAACTTGCATGGGCAACGCTGCAAATCGGAGGAAAGAATCGGACGTGTATTTCGTCTGCCCGCAAAAGTATAGAGAGCGCGCCTTCAGACAATCGGATCGGTAATAATATCGGACGCTATTTCCGACTTGGACGTGACGTCGTAACGGATCGGACGTGTATTGAGTGTTCATACAATTATATGGTGCAAGCGCCTCCCGGTAGTCGGATCAGACTATCGGATCCGACCATCGGATGGAAAAAACGGACGGGTATTGTCGCATGTGACGTGCACACAGACGTGTACCTACCGCGACTGTTGAGAGTATCGCATCGAAAGCTCATGGATATTGTCACGCCCTCTGCTGTCATGCACACTTTATTACTTATATTTATTATATAAACGGAAAGTATTTTAATCAGTTACGAGAACGGACTGACAGAGAAAGCAATTTTTATTTCGTTCCTATTCATTTTAAAAATTACGATTTAAGTACGTTTTTGCAAATATCTCTCTTTTTTAAAAAAAACAAGTGTTCAGTAGATTAATAGTGCACGATGGCAGGCCATAAATACATTACTAACTCTAGTAATTTATTCGAGGATGAAGATGTGGACGCCGACATGTACGTGAACCGTTATAGGCCACGGATAGCTACGACACAATCGAAACCTGTGACTACGCAATACGATGGACGCATTGCTGAATTGGAGCGGCAGAAACAAGCTATCTTAGAGCGAACTCTGGATTCATCTGACAGAAGCATATGCCTTCTTCGCGAATCCGAGGATATAGGCGCCCAGGCAGCAGTGGAACTGAACCGCCAGCGCGAACAGCTTGAAACAACCGACAAAAGGCTTGATGAAATGAACATAAACTTAAACTACAGCCAGAAGCACCTAAATGGAATTAAATCTGTATTCTATGGACTTAAAAACTATATTTCGGGTAGGTCTAACGATGTCCGTGTGCCTAATCAAACGTCACCAGGTAAAACATCCAGTAAGAAAGATCGGCCCAGCGGCAGTGGCTTGACCGACACTATAACTAATTTTAATAATGATATTACACCTGAAGATCGATTCAGTACTTATCCCTCTGTTCACCTGAAAGGTTTGGAGCAGCAAACTATGGCTGCACCTATCTCCGATAGTCAACGTATCAACACATTACTTGATGACAACCTTAAAGAGATGGTCCAACACGTAACAAGACTAAAAGGCCTTGGTGTTGACCTCGGAAGGGAAATTGATACACAGAATGAACTGATAGACAAGATTCAGGATAAGGTTGAAGTGGTAGACGTCAAAATTGGCAAACAGAACAAGACCATGAACAAACTTCTTGGAAAATAATCCAAATTCAGTTGATTTCACCTCTTCAAGATAAGCGTAATCCTAAAACAAGCTGCCCATAGGCATTGCAAGTCACAAATCACTCGCAGTGATCAATATCAATGAAATACGATTTATTTTTCTGGGTTGTGTTAAAAGTTTTCTCAGATAGGTCGGATATGTCCTACACGGTCCCGCCTCTTGCTACGCCTGTGACCTTGACATGTACTCGTATCAATTATTAAGCCGTGGTCCGTCATGGGCCACAGACAGAGGTCGTCAATTTACAAGCAGGTATTTACAAAGTGTTTTATAAAATCACAAATAGATATTGTATGAAATTTTGTGTAAATGTATTTGTCCAGACAAATACATTTACTTTATTAAAAAATATTAAATAAATGTATGTTGTACGTAATTGGATTTTCGTAATACTAATACTGAAAAAATCAAATCTTTGACTCATTGCATTACTGTTATTAAATACACTACGTCAGAGGCTATTATAAATTATTAGTTTCCTCCCATTTTGTACATTAAAAAAAATAAAAGTTATACATATACATATGCCCTTGATAGATTAATTGAACTGTAATAAATTGCAATTAACAGTTTATTGAAACATTTCGACTTATCTCATTATTTTTTATGTTTAAGTCATTGGCGTAATAATGTGACATTGTATAAAACTATGTAAATTTAGATATATAAAATGACCCTAGTTTGTAAAATGGAGTAGGTAAAACCATCGTAGTAGAGGCCAGATTACGAAATTGTCGTAGTGTACAGGAATTCAAATAAATAATAATAATAATAATTTTATTCTCAGACAACGTGATCCATAATATTTGTTAATAAAAAATACTTAAGCTAGTGTTAGTTTAAACATAAAAATAAAGACAATACTAATAATAATTAAATAATTATTTGTTGAATAGGCGGGAGGATAACTGCCCAGCCAATGTTAGAACAGTGAATCGCTAGCGGTGTGCAAACGCATCCACAGCCATTCAATTGAACATTGGGGACTCCCACCTATGTATCTGTCAATGTGTTCAGGATGCTGTTAGTGCTGCCACGCATGCGACTGAGTAGCGACGCACTTCGCTTTCGTATGATAGCCTAAAAATCGTCTACACGTTTATCAGCGAACATGGTTGATGCGCTACAGAAACGTGGCAGTCGGAACAGCATCCTGAATGCATTGTTATACTGAACGCGCAGTGCACCGTATGTCCGCTGCGTATAGTTGACCCACAGGCTGCACGTGTAAAAGGACTGGCAATAAGCTTTAAAAAGTGTTACCTTCACTTGATCTGTACATCGTGCAAACCTGCGCGCCAACATATTACAACGGACAGCCAATGCCCTGCGCTCCCTCTCTATATCTGCATTATCACACAGATCCTCGGCGACCCAGTGGCCCAGATACTTAAACTGCCTTGATTGCTTTAGAGGAGTTCCACATAAAGTAATTGGAGGCACGGTCGTATATATTTTAGTGCCGGCCTTGAATACCATACACTCACTCTTAAGTGCATTATATCTGAGCCCGTGTGCCGCCGCATAAGATTCACAGATACTTATCAGCTTACGCAGAGCACCAACTGATGGGCATAAAAGTACCATGTCATCAGCGTAACATATGTTATTGACACAGACCCCGTCAATATGGCAACCAACGTTGGAGCTGCTGAGCTCACCCATCAGCCCGTTCATGTACAAATTGAAGAGCCGCGGCGAACTCAACCCCCCTTGCCGAACTCCGCACTCCAATTTGTACACGTCCGACTGAGCATCTGCCCATCTTACTCTATTCCTTTGATGGCTGTACCAATATTTAAATATTGCTGTTAACTCATGTGGTGAATTAGTCTCACACTCTAGCTTGTGCCACAGAGTATTGTACGATACTAGGTCAAATGCCTTCTACAAGTCCAGGTAACAGGCATATACTGGTGTTTTACGGGAAGTATAGTACTGGACAGTCTGCTTGAGACACAGGATAGCGCTCTCTGTGGACAACCCGGGCCGAAAACCGAATTGAGAGTCTTGCAAGTTGACTACTTTATCCAGGTGTTTGTCAAGCAGTCCATCCAATACCTTTGCTATCACAGTAGCCAAGGATATCGGCCTGTAGTTAGACAAGTCAGAAGCATCGCCAGTTTTATTCTTTATCACTGGTACAACCATTGTGTACATTAAATCATCAGGTAGATAACCATAACTCAAACAAAAGTTGAAAAACAACGCCAAAACCCTCGGTAACTGCACACCAGCGTATCTCAGGTGCTCGATGCTGAGGCCGTCGTGACCTGGAGACTTTCCCCTCTCCATTTTGTTTATTATGGAATGCACTTCCTTGGGTGAGAATCTAATATTTAATACATCCGAACTAGACCCCGCAACGGGCACCCGCAGCACAGGCACGAGTGGCGAGCTTATCCTGAAATGGCGCTGAAACGCGTTCGCTATCTCAGCGGAATCGTGCACACCAGTGACACTCACAGGAAGACTCGGTTTAGGATTTAGTTTGTTTGTGTTTTTCCAAAATTTACTGAAATTCTTACATGAGTGATAATTTGCAATAATGTCCATTTTTATTTGTTCTGAATTTTTCTGACAGTATTTAAGTTTGCCTTTAAAAATTTTCCTAGATTGATACATACGATTGTAAATATGTCCACTAGTTGGTTTACCGTACAATAACCACATTTCATAACAAAGCCGAGCCTCCCTGTGCGCACCGCTGACGTACTTGTTCCAACCAGGTATATATATATGCTTGTTCATATGCCCTCCACCCTTAGACTACTTAAAACTACGTTCTGAAGCCTCTATAAGTATACCTACAATATCATGATAAATAGTATCTATTAATAACTTATGGTTTTCAATGGAACAGAAATTGGAAGCACATTCAGTCAATTCATTAGGTAAAATAAATTCTTTTAGCTTTAAATTACAGTATTCGAGATAATTATTTATTTGTTCATCATCTCTTTCCCTCCAAATTACTTTATTGTTAGACATTTTATAATTCAGTATTTTAGGTACAATCAAATCTATATTGCATTCAATTAATAATGGATAATGATCCGACCAATAAACATCATACAACACCGAAGCGGTCACTACAGTAAGTCGCGCCGCGCCGGTGAGTAAACAGTGGTCGAGCCAAAACGGCGACACCCATGTGCCTCACTCAGAAACGTATAGCTATCCGCGGCTAATAAGTCCAAATCAACACATGTCCATAATTTTTCACTACAGAAATCTAATAGTTCATTTGCAAATATCTCACCTGAGTGCGCGTTAAAGTCGCCTAGTATGAACACTGATTCCACATTGTAACCCTCTACTAGTGCGTTAATCTCACTAAGACATTCGATAAATTCAATTCAATTATCAGCCGACGCGGTAGGCATATATACTGAAAAAACCAACAACGAGCGTTCGTTAAGTTCGACTTTGATAGCTGCAAGACGCACACTTTACACACTATCACCGATACACATGGGAACTTAGATTTTCGCCACAACAACCCCGCCGTACGGTCTTCCTCTCAATATTCCAGTCGACGTATCTACAGCAGACTTTCCAGTAAAAGCAAAGTCATTATCAATATTTCCGAGATAAGGTATATCATGTGGTAATAGCCATGTCTCCTGCAGTGCAACAATGTCAGCCGTGCGACATAAACTCTTTATGTTCTCCGTAGAACGTACGACATTTCTGCAATTGAAGCTAGCGAATTTTGTTGTTGTACTCATGTTGTACCATTACAAGTTTTATTTGCTGCATTCTCCGTTCCTTTTATTTCGACTAAAGTCGAAAAAACGGCGGTACGCTACCCCATCCGGCCAAAAATCGTCACTTAAAAACAATTTAAGGCTGTTTTTAGGCACAAATACTTTATACGACTTGTAATCTTTAGTCATTTTCATGTCTACTTTTTGTACAACAACTGTCATATTGGACTTCTTCCTAATATAATTTTCAATATCACACATGGACGTTTCCTTTGACACGTTGTATATAAATAAAGGTATCTTAACATCCGCCCGCTTTGAAATTATTGTTCGATTCCACATCAGCTTTTCCTCGGCTTCCTATAAAGCGATTACGCAATTTATTTCTAATAAAAAAATGAAAATAATACCTACCTATTTATTTTATTAAAATATGCATCAATACACTTGTACCAGTTTACTGAAAATTCATTCATACATTTGCGGCTCATTTTCGCCTGCTTCATAAGGGCCAGACGGGTCAGGTGAGCATAAAGTGGTGGTGATGGTGTGTTCGGCGTTATTATTATAGATATATAGATAGATAGTTATTATTATAACAGTGGAGAAGATTGGTTGACTAGCCATCGTTGTCCGCATTTCTCCATTATAGCGATCAGTTGTCATGGTGTGTACCGATTGTAAATAAGCTTTACTTAGTTCCCCCGCGCCAATGAACCAGTAAACAGTTACCACCAAATTTCTGTGAATAAGTTATTTTTGGGCAGGTTTCAACCAGTATTGACCGCTTTGATCCATTTTTCATCAAAGAAATCCATTACTCATCAAAAGTAATGATGTGGTCTGTACCTCTCATCTCGTAGTGCAACCTTAAACATATATTTTACGTTGTACAGACAAATTGTGTGATAAGCACCTATTGACCGTACTATAGCTTTTTTAATTATTTTTACCAAGAAATAAGTGCGCATTTCCATCTCACCTGATGGAAAGTGACGATAAGCAGGCTGATTTTAATTCAAATCGGAATGGATCCGATCGGGTAGCCCGTCCGAGCCTCAAATCAGCAGCTTGGTTTTGATTGCCTCTCCCGATCAAAAATGCCTTTTTTTTTCGAGGCGCAGGACCATTCTCAAAAACGGAATTTAAAAAAACCATGTTTTTGATATGATTCAAAGTAATCTTAAATGAAAGGTACCGTATACTACAATATGTTTCACTTATGAACCCAGCTATTATCACTGTAGTTTTCACTTTTCATGAAAAAAGGAAAAAAGTAAACGCCCCCACGTCAGTGACACAAGTCCATGGTAATGACATATTAGATTAATTTCAATGAAGCATGTATGGTT